TAAATTGGGAATTGCTTTGTCATTTCTGTGTGTACTTTACATTGAAGTTATTTAATGGTACAGTGACATAAACAACTTTTCGTAAACCTTGGATTTGCACAACCATCAACATGACCAATTTGCATCCATGCGCGCTAAGCCCGAATAATTAGATTTTACATTAACCTTTGCTCATTAGGCGTGTAATGATTATAATTATTCAGTTCGTCAAGTATGGCAATCTCTGCACTCATGGTACATGTATAATAGAGTTGTGCATTTAAGAATTGATTTATGCTTTTTTTGGCTGTCAGAAATTAGTACCAACCAACAGGGTTGTATGAGGTGGTACAAATACTGTAAATTAAACTTAAATTGTGATCGTAAAATTGAGCATGTAAGGATGCATCAACGGAATGATTTAAATACATTCTTGGCCTCGCAATGCGTACATCGAATTGTGTGCATGAGAATAGATTTTATTTAATTTAGCAAATTCGGATAATTTTACATATGGAACGCACACTCAAATTCTAGAGTAGTTGCTGTACAATAGTACTAAACTGCCTGGCCCGTGACATTTTCTTTGCAGTCGGAAGACGACTAACAAGCCATCTGCTTTGGACGCTGTTAATTTTTTAGTTGATTTTCTGCTTCTTGCCCATGCACAGCCCCCAAATGAAAAATATGCACGAATATAAATTGGCGTCTGGACAAGGCATAATTTGTCTGGTCACCAGTTACTGCACCAGTTACTGCACTCCGGATATGAGCATAGGATAGTGTATTAAAAATGTGGATTCCTATATGCAGGTTACGATTGATCAAATTTCCAAAAGTGGTTGGTGGGGGGGGGATAATATATGCTCTCAAACCTGATATTTGGTCAAATAAGAGGAAGGGCTTCTAATAATATGGACAACTGCAAATAGCAACGCATAATGGGTGATATTGCCTCAATGTGATAAATATGCACTTTGACATCGTGTAAAAGTGCATTTTACCATGGGAAGCCAAACTCGAGAAACTACTTTTGAATGAGGGTCATGCTACAGTGGGATATTTGGCCAATTCCAAGCGTGTTTCGCTTCATGTGTGAGGAAACCTCCCGTACCCGGAAAAAAAACCGAGGCAAGCTCCGCAGAGAGAGATTCAATAATCCATTGCTCTCCTGACATTTTTTGGCTATCCCGCAGCCAGTCCCAACCATAAATGTAAATTATTTTATCCAGGAGAGATACATTTACCCCCCCCCCCCCGGCCATACCTAAAAGCGCAGTTCCAGGCAGAGAACTGGCCCACGTGAAATCGCACCCAGCGATTATGTTAAGGCAGTTAAGCGTTTTGGAATCGATTCGCATAAAATATGCAACCACTAGAGGCGCTACATTCACAATCGCAAAAAAATAATCGTTACCAAATTGTAACAATTCATAGGATCGCTACGTGCATACAAACCATCAAGGCCTTTGTGGAAGTGTATATAATTTCAACAGCATTGGTTTAATGCAAGCCCACTGGACCAGTTTCGATATACAATGTCTCATCAGCAGTTTAACACGTAGGCTTTCGCGACCAATATCCATAATACAGTTTTTTTGTGGTTAGACCGCGTAAATCTAAAGGTAAACCCCGCCACCACCAATTAGTACGGATTGTCACGTAAACAGAACATGCCAATTCGTTACTAGTGTAGTGGGCTCAAACGGCCACTCAGACGTACTGTTTGAAGGCAACACATTTTATTAACACCAACAACACCACATAGTAACCTATGGTTGTGGTCCAGCAGGCTAACCACACCGACTACCCTGGGAGTAGCTACGACGGACGGGACCCCAGCCTGGGCCCAGGTCCCATGTGGGTCTTCTCTTCGGACGTTCATAGTTCATAGTTTCATTTATTTGGTATAGCCCTGTGAGTCATTACGCTCTTGAATCGGGTGCAACCGCAACAAACAAAAACATGAACAAGAAAACATCTTAAAGTGATTATGTGACTGTGCAAACAGAAAATCCAGGAAAAAAACATCAAAATATTCCTGAAATAGCACCGTACACCAACGCTGTGTGCAAAAATCCCAGTGGGATGCAAGTCAAACAACAACAAGAAGAAAACTTAGATTAAGGCCATCAGTCTAACTCCGTACTACAATAAACAAAAACATGGCCAAAACCAAAAAACGTTTTCGAAATCACCAAAATAAAAGCCATAAATGCAATGTAACAGTGATCATAAGGACTGTGACCGAATTTTTTACAATAAACTACAAATAAATTGTAACACCAAAATCTAGAGCTATATTTTAGGCCACTGAATAGCAGTGGCAGCTAGGGGTGTACAACTCCTCTAGAGCAGTTTTGAGTGAAGATCTCATAGGTAGTGATTCAAGTTGCAGTTTATTGGCAATAGCATTCCAGACCCTGGGGGCATCAATAGCAAAGGCCCTTCCTCCGGTTTTTGTACGGCAATAGGGAATGTGAAGCTGGTAAATGAGCGAAGACCTGAGGTCAAATTTGTTATTTGAAACAGCGAGGAGATCCAGTAGGTAGTCTGCGGATTTTTTTGTAAGTACATCGTTAATAAATAAGATCTGGTGCACAAGCCGTCGAACATTAAGAGATGTTAAGTAGTCGTAGCACGTAGATTCTTGAGGATCACAACAGCAGCCGGTCCCACTGAGAGACCGGCTTTCATGCTCTCTGGCGGGGCTCGCTCCGCCCCTAGCTACGAACACCTCGAACTATCGAGAAGGATCTCCGCTTCCCACGTGGTCCCCCCAGCCCCCCTTTTGGGGGTCCCCGGGTACGCGCCTCCGGTCACGTGTCCTGGTACTGCATCCGCCTTCGGTGGTGTCCGTGCTGTCAGTGTATTGCGTGGCGTGCCTTTCCCATGCTGGCTACTAGTACAGCAACACGTGTGTTGGAGAGCAAATCCACAACATTTACAAGCCGAGTACGTTTCGCCAGTAATTGCAACGAGCATCATCAGCAGTCAGGCTGGCTTACAACCAATGTTCAACTTGCTTCAGCCATGGTCTGTCCACTGCTGGATGAAGACTCCCTCCACCCAAAGCCGCCGCAATCTCTCACGCTCATGCGATGCAACAAATGCGCCTTCCTGTACCCATTCATTCACCAGCACGCACTGAGCATTGTGAAGCATGGTCATATAGCTCCCCCACACTGCATAGGGAGAAGGCCCCCCCATGTAAGGGGCCGTACATAAATGACGTCACGCACCTGGGGGGGTCAGACATTTGTGACGATATGTGACGGGGGGGGGTGAGAAATGTGACGTCACATGAAAATGCACAACTTTAAATAAATATAGGCAACACGTTCTACTTAATTAAATATACTTTTTACTAAATGTTCTATCCTACAACATCAGAGTGCAGCGCCACATTAAATACGCACTACAATGACAATAGTTTAAAGCGATTTTAAGCATGTTTTAGGTTTTTTTGTGGGGGGGGGGGGGGGGGGCAGAGCTTTGCGACGTCATATTTGAGGGAGGGTCTGACTTTTTATGACGCCGTGTGACGGGGGGGGGGGTCAAAAATAATCCAAAATCGCGTGACGTCATTTATGGACGGCCACTAAACATGAATAGGCTTTACCCTTTCTGGCAATAAAACAGGTGTCGGATCGTGTAAATATAAATGTGTCGTGAAACCCGCCACCACCCGACACAGCCGATGAGTAAGGGTTGTCACGTAAACAGAACGTGGCAATTCGTTACTGATGTCTTGGCGAGCAAAGCCGCAAATATTTACAATCTGAGCACGAGGTGTGAAGACGTCCAAACACCAGATACCGATTGCAGGGTATCGAGTCTGCGTTAACCACGCATGATTAGTGGCGTGTAAAATAAGTAATATTTAAAAATACTTTTTTTTTTTAAAACACGCTTTAATGAAATGTACCGTACGAGTAATGTGGCAGAACTCCACGACTTCAGGAAGTGGCCCCGAAGCTTGCCATAAAGTAAAGGGGACCGTGGTTATTTACAGCCAACGTGAGTTCAGCATGGACAATTAGACCTAAGCCGAAACATAAGATTGTTAAAAAATATTTTTTTTATTTTAATGATAGAATCTAGTATTGTCATCAGTATGACATACCTATACCAATTTTGCGGTCGATACGATATTGAAAAGTGGGTAAAAATTGAGTTACAATATTTGAGGATACAACAGCGTGAGTTAAATAAAAGCGTGTAATAAAAGCGTGTAAAAAGCATTCGATGAATATAAAAACAAACACCAATATTCATAAACTAGCCTTTTACCCGTCCAAGGGCGGGTGTATTGCAGTAAATATGAAACTTGCAAGCGAAAAGCACAGACCGCGACGTGATATTAATTGCATCAATTCGTGTGCAATTTGTAAGGCCGCGGTGACACACAGAGTTATTTAATTTAAAGGTTATAATCCCTTGTTCATCATGACGTCATTTTTACTTTGATGTCTCAACAACAGCGTCACGTGACGTGAGGGTTCTGCCTTTGTAGTGAGGGTTGTGAGCTGACGCTGAGGAGGGGGAGGCGCCTCGCCCCTCCCCCATGTGGAGTGACGTCAGCCGCTAATTATTATGAACGGAAGGGGAGGGTGTCTATTTGGAGAACGTTACCTGTCAATGATTATTAATGAGGGGGGCTGTTCGATGTGGAGTGACGTCATCTGCTCATGATTATTAATGAGGGGGGCTGGTCGACGTGGAGTGACGTCACAAGCGTTACACAGACATTCTTGGCTCATTATAGTAGGTACAGTATAATGTAGTCGGTAATGGGGAGCTTCACGCAACGCAACGCCGCCATGCCCCACATGACTTCACAGCTGAAGCCTGAGAATCCAAGGGAAGCCACGCCCTCCCATATTTCCCACTGCACATAGGCGCCGCTCGCTCCGCCCACTGCGCCGGCGCCTCGGAATTGCCGCCTTCCCATTGGTCAAACTCGCCGTCGAGCTCCGCCTCCCTCCCTCTTCGCCCATATGTTGCCCGCCGCCGTCCAATCGCGGTAGAGATCCACACCTAAGCGTGTTGGGAAATCGTAAAGCATGGCCCAGCCGGAGCCGAGTCCGACATTCCGGCTTTTGTGGTGGTAGCAACAACAATGAAAACAACCCCACAATAATGCAACAACAACTGCTACGAACAACAACAAACGACTAGAATAACGACCCAAACACACACACACGCGCGCGCTTCTTTGCTTACTACTTGTGGCGTACGCGAGAGCGCTGCGCCGCGCGGCCGGGGTGAGGGGAGCTCTGCGGAGAGCGTCCAATGCCTGGCGGGGCCGACGGGGACGACGTCGCGTTCATGTTTAAAGCCATGCGTGAGTGGCCTCCCTCGGCCTCTTACACACACACACGCACGCTGCCGGGTGTCACTCCACTGCTGGATGTGGACAGCCCTTTATTGTTGATGCCACTATACTGGGAGGGAGGGAAGGCCTTCTCACGGCCGCCGCCGGCGCGCGGTTATTTGCACCGTTCACATTCGGCGCGCCGGTTCCAGTGCGGGTCGGGAGTAACAGGGATGCGTTGATAACAGGCAGGACCGTACAACGAACTGACTGCGGTACAGCTGGAATTTGCTGAACTGCCCTGCCTTCTGTGGCCCACCGTATTGAAGCTGCTGCTCATCGCTACCTGTGTGTCTGTGCGTGGTGTTGGCGGTCACCTAATTCAAGCCACCTATGCGGTATAACGAGGCGAGCAATGTGGCGAAATTGGGCGCATTCGGCGTGATGTGATCATAGGTCTGTCAGCTTGTGTTTCATGAGATTCCTGGTGCATTGACATCGGGGATTAAAATCACGTACAGGTGTACGCATCGGAGGCCACGGGCGAGTTCGTCCACGAATGCAGACCAAAGTGCAATGTGGCACCGCTCTCGTGTACTCGCAACCAAAGCCACGTGCACCCCGTTGGTGTACTCAGTTAAAAGTATAGGCCACGCGAATGTACTCATAGCTAAAGCCACGTGCTTTCGTATTTTGTTATAAGCACACCACGCCTGAGCGCCATGTGTACACTTGGCTTATGTAATGTGCAGTCTACCACATTACTGTATTGTTACCGGATTTAAACTTCACCCATTGGTTAAAAGTTAAGTGTCATTTGTTACACATCCGAGGCCATGCGCAAGTACCCCAATGTAAATTGTACAGATAAAGCCATGCCCATGTACTACAATGATAAACACACACCTAGGGTCATGTGTGAATATGTGGCAGCATGGTGAGGCCATCAAAGAAGTGAATTGACCATGGCTGATGACGGCAGTAAATCTGAATCCATTCGCAAGTCGAGCGTGGATGTAGCAATTAATGTTCAGCCACGTCAAGCTATACTTTAAAGCGCTTGCAACTGTAGCATCAATGTAAAGGCATGTGTCATAGCCAGTTACGGACTGGCCCAGGCGTTTGTAAACACACCATAAACACACCGGTCGAAATTCGTGCTGTGGGCAATTTATTTCAATGGGTTGTGCGATGACAAACTGTATACAGTACGAGCTAGATTTGTGATGTTGGCGTATTTGTGTGGTTTTGCCGTGCGATCTCATTGGCTCATTTTGGTTGCTCCCAAAACAAATGGGCCGGTGAGAAAGAAGCTTTGGGGCTGCAAAATATGGGACTTAATGCCAACTGAGAATGTATATAATCATTGGAGCATACACAAGAGGTAATACAATATATTTTTTTACTCTGCTAACATTTGCAATTTCCCCACGCATACCAGCCCACCGGCCCTCGGAATGAACCAGGCCCACCAGGCATTTGCCTGGACTGCCGTTTGGCCAGTCCGGGCCTGATAATATAGCCTTGTGCAAGTGCAGCACCTAATGTAGTAGACTAATACACGGTATTAAAAACGGGTAGTGTTTTTGATTTTGTAATTCTTTTGCAGTGGAGAGAGACCCGAACAAGCGGCGTGTCAAGCCAGTGCAGAACCAGCTGCTGGAGGCAGCATTTGGTTACGACAGCTCAGACGACAGCGATTTCAATGTCGATGAGGCCTCAGGTAAATGAAGACTGTGGTCTTGGATAACCTCAATTCACCTTCATGTTCATCTCCAATAGAAAATACACATGTAAAGATCACCCCTCCACCATTTACATGTAAATATCACCCCTCCACCACTTACATTGTTCCAATTTAAAGTCACAGGTCATTAACCTATTTGTATATTTTTTTAATGGCCTTTGTTTTGTTTCTGGTTTGTTCCATTTGTAGTCGTGTTTTCTGCGTTAGCTGAAATATACCAAGATCACATCATGGGTGTAAATTGTAAATAATCGTTTCTGCACAATTGTATTTGTATCGTGTGCATGAATTTTGATTTAAATTGAATAATTTGTGCATTGGTACATGTCTGTTAACATCTGAATGCATATAAAATTAAATGGCTTGGTTAGGTTCTTCTGGTACAGATGGTAGCGATGCAGAAAGTAAAGCTTCTGAAAGCAAAGAAGAAAAAAAAAGCAAAGATTCTGAAAGTGAAGACAGCGAAGAAGATGGTCATGGGAAAGCAAAAGAAGCAGAGGGGGACAAATTCAGCTCCGATTCGGATCAGAAGGAAGTTTCAAGAAAACGTGAATCTGGAGCCAAGGGGAAAGAGAAGGGTGGACGGCAGCAATCGAAGGGGAGTGGTGAAGCTGCAAAGGTATGTAATGTGGAAAACAAATTGTCATGTGCCATCAGTGGTACTTACAAGCCTGGAGGTCTAGGCTCTTAAGAGCTTGTGAAAGCTACCAGTAGAATATTTAGGCAACAATCAATAACAGACATTCGGTTTCAGTGTACAGTGTATGAACACAAAATGGGTTGTATACTGTTTGTTCTCCAACATGATATCTGGCATTTCGTTCCATGTGCTGGGACCTTTTCCAGTAACGGAAGAACATTCAGTTCCCAAAGAAGCTCCAAGCACGAACTGTTAGCAATGCTGAACACGCAGTGCAGCCTGAAAAGGCAGAGTTATAAAGCCCAACCCAAAACCTTACATAAGTATAAGTTTCTTCCATTACAGTAACAATGTATGATGGGATTTTGTATTGTTCTGTAAAAGCACATTCCCTGCATTTCCACGTTTAATCCATTTGAATTAAGTATGAAGCATATCAATAATAAACTCACTTCTTGTGGGTGAGGGTGATTCAATGCAAATATTAAACCTGTGGTAGCCATCTTTATATACCCACAAACCGTTATTGCAAGGCATATCCTTTCACCTGGCTTTTTAAAAGTTGGTTGGATGATTGCAACACCTAACCTCCAGTTTTGGCAGCTTTAAGCCTACTTGTAATTTACCACCTGTGCACCGTGTGTTATTACTTGATTGCAGACACAATTTCATTTCAATTAATTATACTGGTAATTCTACAAGTTGTATTTGCTCAAATATAATTCGCCTGAATTAGAAATCCCCAGCGCTACAGATGTCGTTATTTGCTGTCATTATGTCATTTGCACAACACTAGAGAGATGCTGTTATTTCCTTACAGAACATTTGAAATGTCTAAACAATTCTTCATGGGTTTAATAAATGCTCACATTTAAAGTGCATTTAAAATGGATGCAGTTTGTGCAAGTTGATATAAATACTGACCACATGTTTGAATTATTTCGGTTTTCAAATTATATTCTTGGGAAAATCCCATGGTTAATATGTTGTGAGTGTAATGCGAATTTAATACAAAGGAACAATAGCTGTTTAAGGCTGTGTATAACTGGTATCTAGGGATGAGAATCTTGTGAATAATTTGCGTATATACTGCATATCATGTGATCATGTTTCAAAAACCTTGCAAAGTGTGTTGGTTTAATTTAGTTTTTTGCTTCTATTTTACTAATTGCAGTTATTTCATCAGATACTGTGCTCAGCACAGCAGTAACCAAATTACATTGTATTATAAGGAAAGCACAAAGCATATTTTTGTTTTATGGGCACATTAAATGATTGTGAACAATTAATAGCAAAAAAATGATTTACACACCGGGGAGATCTGTTTGAAATGCAATAAACCCTAGCCATTTATGTGGCTTTTCATTAGATTCACAGAAGGGCACCAGCATTTTCATAACTGTGTCAGGGTTTGATAAATGCTAAATTGTTCATGCAAAGCAACTTTAATTCTGTAGCTGCAATGAACACTGTGGCTCACACACACTCTTAATAGTCTACGATGTTTCCAGATGTTATGTACGTAGACAGGCCTACAGACAATACATATAAATTGTTGAGGACAGCCCTATATTTGAAAGTAAAACTTTTAAATTTCTAATCTTCTTACATTTGAAGCAATGTACCTGTGTGAATAGTGCTTTTTGACATGGAGGTCACATCCTAACCTCTGAAAGGTATTGTAAACTATACGTTTCTTATGGATGTTGTTGACACTGCTTGCCTATTTCCATGGCCTATGAAATGGTAAAATAATTGATAACCGCTGCAAAAAATTCTGAGGGTCATATGCCAAATCAAGCAGGTGTGAGAGCAATTAGTGTTTCCTCTTAGGATAGGTACCTAATCATTATAAAGGTGCCATGTTCATGGTGGATGTGATTCTTAACTTCGGTGACAATCTTCTTTTCTCGAATGCAAAGGCTACCCTCTCGACTAGACGGCCATTTTTGATTGCGAATTAATGATGTGGTCAACATTGTTTATTAAGACTTTGATAGAAATGTTTCGGGGCAGGTACACGAGTTATTTATGAGAAGTATATGAGCGTTGGTATCATATAGTACATTGTGAGATCACGTGAGATTGCATTTGGGGTATTTTCGATGTTTTTGTTCTTTTATTTTTTAGAAGACCAGCTCTGGGGACTCGGAGAGCAGTGACAGTGAGAGTGCAGCTTCTGCCAAAAACTCGAATGATGATGCACAATCAGCCAAGGATCAAAAGAGGAAGTGGGACTTTCGCCGTAAACGCAGTACGCCAGCCGTTGTGCTGACAGAGCAGGACCTGGGCAACATGGATGACTATGACAGCGAGGACGACAATGACTGGGACCCCGAAAAAGTTGGCAAAAAAGGGGGTGACTCCGAGGTACTCGTACACACGGCCAATGCTAATACTGACATTAATCTATGGTTGTATGCACTGCTTTATAAATGATATGGACATGTACAGCCATTACTCTTTGGTTCTTTCGGTGAAGTCACGTAAAAAAATAAAATCAAATAATAATAGAATACGACGTTTCGATTGCAGCACAAGCAACCGTCAGGTAATAATGAATGAGAAAAAAACAAACATAGTAAACTTAGAAACACAATGCAACACAGAGAGCCGGCCAACACAACAGCCAACACCCCACCTGGCTGACCACGCTCCTCCAAAGAATGACAAACAGAAAGACAGCGCCACTGTGTCGAGGCCTTAAATAGAGAGAGGGGGGAGGGGTTGGGGCAGAGGACAATGAGAGAGTTGTGTGGAATTCCGGACCATAGTGGCCGGAGGAGAGACAATGGACTATAAACAAACCAGCACGGAAATATTTAGAGCAAGAAAATCGGAAGTTTGAGAAAGCAAATTTAGTAAAATTAGGAAGTGTAATGCAATGCAACACAGTCGGTTAACACAACGCATAGCCTGGCTGATTACGTTCTAACAAAGATTGCCCCCTCCCCCCTCTCTCTATTTATAGTCCATTGTCTTTCCTCCGGCCACTATGGGTCCGGAATTCCACACAACTCTCCCATTGTCCTCTGCCTCAATCCCCTTCCCAGCCATGTTTCAATCCATTGCTTGATGAAGGCCTCCCCATGCCTTGTTGTTTGACAATTCACCACGCTGGTCAATTTGGGTTGATGAAGTGCAGGAGGGGGGGGGGGGGGGCTTAGAACATGTTCTGATATCACTTGCCACTGATGTTAACCATGTACAGGAATTAAGCTCAGGTATGCAGGTATACAGCGCAGTGCGCTCATCACTGTAATATATATAGATTTTTATTTCCAATAGGGGATATCTTTAAAAAAAAGAGTAAACAGCCTAGGTTCTTCATTATGTGAAAAAGTGAAATACAATTATTTTACTTTACCTTTTGTTGATTGTCCAATATATAAGAACTAACCACAATTCTATAAAATGTTTTTTTAGTTAATTCATTGTAAAATTATATGACTGTATGGTAGCTGGGATATGAAGTTGTGAAATTGGTTTCATTGTTACAATGGCATAATATTTAATCCTATATGTTTAAATCCATATATACCTACAGTATAATTTCTGTGTTGTAATAAAGTAAGGTGCATGTGCATTTTCTGGTTGAGTGTGTGAATGGATTTTTCTTGTGGTCGACCTGCAGCTTAGCTTTGACATAATCATAAATGTGTTTTATGCTCGAACATTTCAAATCCTCTGTGGAACTCTTCAGTCGGAGGGCTCAGACGGCAGTGACGAGAAAGAACATGGCAGCAACGATGACAGTGAGAGCGGCAACAGCAGCGACAAGGACAGCAAAGGCAGTGATGATGGCAGCGATGATGAGGAGGATGAGGACGGTGATGAGAAGGAGAGTGCAAAGTCAGAAGAGCAGGAGAGTGGCGATGATGTGTCCGGTTCGGAGAGCACGGTGGATAAATCTGTTACCATCGGGGAGCTCATTGAGAAAGTAGCAAAGAAAAGAACCAAAGCTGAAGTAAGGAAATGTTTCCTCAGCAACTACACAGTGGTTTAATTTATGAACCTGATAATATGACACAAATTAACCTATTTTTATCTATTATTAAATGTATGAGCTCATAAACATACCCTATTTCAGTTTTTAAATATTTAAATCTGTGGAATGATGTGTTGTTACTGCTTTAATGTTTGTATAGGAGTCTGTGACATCCAGTAAGACCTCTGGAGGCAGGTCTTCGCAGAAGATGCAGGAGGTGCTGATCTGCAGCGTGTGTCTTGGTGAGAACAGTGAAGACAGCAACGAGATTGTCCAGTGTGACAACTGTGGTGTCACAGTCCATGAAGGTACGTGTATATACCAGCACATGGTGGCCTATGTAAAGTGCCATTGAGCATGTAAAATGTATTTTTTATCTTTTGAAACATCATGAATATTATTATGCGTGTTTACCCATGAAAGCCTCATATAGTGTCATGACTATTTTTCAGGAGTCTGTTCAAGTTTTTTGCAGGAGGGGCGATGATTGCTATGTATATTCTAATATATTCAATCAGTGTTTTGGAATGAAAATAAGATCCTATTTTAGCTCATTTTTATTTGGTATTTTCTCAGTTCTCATGGTAGACATCCTGTGTCAGATATCTTTCCTAAAAATACCACTTTTAATCTTTTAGATAAAGCTGCTGTGCTGAACTTTCTTTGTTACATTTAAGGCATCCACACTGTCCAGCTTTTTGAAACTTTTTTGATTTTGTGCAAACAGGGTGATGTATGAAGCACATGAGCTTGCGTGACAGTGATGAAGTGCTGTGCACTGCCGCCTGTTAGAGCATGCACTGATAGTCACCTGGCCAAGCACACGCACGCTCCACGTTGCCATGTTGTTGGTTTACTTCTCACTGCTTTAGATATATCGCTGCACATCACACAACCCAGCACAAAGAATTCAGAAAAAAAATCCAATTCACTCTTACAAACAAATAACCCCACTGAAATATAAATGTACATTATTCAACCACAAGAATGTTAGCAGCTATGTGTATAATGTGAAAATGAACATACAGGGAAATCACGGCAGTATTTTTAACTTATGATATGGTGCAGTTTTTTCACTCACTTTTGTAAAAAAGCTAGTGCTTGTGAAACAAGTTAATAATTTATTTTCATGTGTAAAAAATGTAATTTTAAGCACGAAGTTGTCATTTGTGTTTTTTTATAATTTTAGCAATTAAAATATTTTTGTATTTGTAAACACAGCTGCCAGATTAGTCAGTGGATGGTGTCTGCTTTTGCGAACATTTCCCTTGTGTTCAGCTTGTTACGGTGTTGATGGCGAGAGCGAGTCCGTGATAAGCTCGACCTCGGATAACTCAACAGAGCCCTGGTTTTGTGATCCGTGCAAAGCCGGCGTTGTGCCCAGCTGTGAGCTCTGCCCTGCCATTGATGGCATCTTCAAGGAGACAGATGCTGGCCGGTGAGTCATGGGTAGTGTGTGGTTAATGAAAAGGGCCTTATGGCATCAGCTTTGAGTAATTTTGGAGAGCTAGCTATGAGTGCTATTGAATCTGTTTTTTTCACACTGTGCTATAATGCTACTTGTTTCCCTTTTTCAGATGGGTTCACGTGGTGTGTGCACTCTATGTTTCTGGCGTAGCATTTGAGGATGTAGAGAGGCTAAGGCCAGTGACTCTCACCGAGATGTCATATTCAAAGTACGGAGCCAAGGTACTGTTGTCAGGTGGTATTTATGGTTATGTTGGATTTTTAATTTCTTCCAAATGCTTACAAAATTTACCTTTTATATTACATTTGGATCCACAGCAATCTGCATCTTTGTAGTGTATAATTTACTTAAGTAATAACTTAAAATTAAAATGCTTGACCAATCACACGTTTTTTTGTTTACAAGTTTATTTGTATGGATATATTTTTGTTTATATGTATGTTGAGCAACAAAGCAAATAACATTGTCGCATTGTAGCAGTGTGTTAGAGTGAACCTTGCTCAGGGATGTAGCTGTTTGTGTGTGTGCTCTGTAATTATTTTAAATTCCTCTATTCACTGAATTCTAATCAAAATGTTACGACAGCCCTTTTTTTACCTTGCTCACTGATCATTGTGCATAAATAACCTTAAAATATAAAAAGCATAATCTGAACCAAAAATGTACGTTCTGGTGACATTTGTCGGCTTTTTGAAATGCCATACCGTGTCTGCTCCAGTAGTTTGTAATATAATGCCAGAAATGCAATTCAAGGCCAAATTGAAAGCTTTCTGCAAAGTTGGGCATGTTTCATGGCTTTTGTGTCTGCTTCTACACATTCAATTTTGGGGCACAATTTTGAAATGACATTGTTCAGTAGCTCCCTGTCATCGCGTGGATATCAAAACAGATGGGTTAGAAAAATATGAAGAAAATCACTTGTTCAGCCGAAAATGTCTACTACATTGGCTCCACATACAATCTGTGGTTTTATGCTTCAGTGAAGCAATCCTATCACAAGTGGAAACTGGGTTGTAAAAAATATATAACAGAATGTTAGAGTTAATGCTCCTAATGAAATCTGATGGTGGAAATGTTTTGGGTATTTATGCACAAAGTGCCTCTTTATGTTTGTGTGCAGTTTGTATTAAATTGTAATTTTAGTTCAGTGCTTTGGAGGTGTATGTACTCATAGCGTCATACAAACTTTCCCACCTTTAAATTGAATGCCACATGAGTTCTCTCTTTTTATAAACCTATTAAATGTACTGCATTAAGCGTAGAACTAAATAAATATTTTCATTCTGGATAATGATAAGCAGACAATATTACTCCTTCACATCTGTCCCTCCATGTAAAAAATAAATGAAAATTATACACATTATTAGCCACACGGCTTTCTGTGCATGTTGAGCAGCATTGGTTCAATACAAACTGGATGGATTTTGACATTAAATTTCTCAGCAGAGTGAGGCTTGCTTGAACCAATGTTGTTGAACTGCGAGATGTTTATAGGAAAGGACCTTCTCTGTTAGACATGGGTCATAGTCAAATGCAAAACTTTACAATACAAAATAATCTTTAAGCAGGTCTGTTAACCTACCTTTTTTAACATTAAGCTTACTTGAAAGCACTCTTGGCCTGAATCTCAATGTAGAATAACTGTTGTATTAAACAGTGCAAATTGTTTGTTATTATGTTCACATAATAGTTACTGCTTTCACTGCATTTATATTTTATGATAAGGTTTTGGAAGAATTTTAATAGTAATGTGTTGTATACTATTTTATGGGTTTATTACAGCTGTACATATTAAAAGTAGAGTAATGTTTCTTTATGCACATGTGGCAGGCGAGTAACAATACATCCTGGATTATTATGACTGTCATCAAACCCAAGTATTTATCAAACCCTAGTGCCCTCAATTAAACCCACTGAGGACTTTTCCGTATCCACCAATCTGAGTTCACAAAACAGATCATGTATGTTTCATGCGTCTTTTGACTGGTAGGTATGTGTGTAACTTGTGACTTGTGTGAATTGATGGTGTAGGGTTCATGTGAAGGTACAATGAGTGCCAGATTTAACGTATACAGATGGACTTGTGGCTGTGCAGGAGTGCATGCTGTGTGAGGAGCGCCTGTTTTCTCGTACCGGAGTGTGCATCAACTGTGATGCGGGGATGTGCCGGAGCTTCTTCCACGTGATGTGTGCCCAGCGCGAAGGTTTGTTGTCGGAGGCTGCTGCAGAGGAGGTAAGACTCATTTTGCTTAGAAACTCTTTACAATGATGACCATGAGCAGTGGCGGCAGTTGCAGGATATTGCAGAGAGGGAATGTGCAAACTAACAAGATAAAAAATTTGCATTTCATTGATTGTGTTCGCTGCTTTCCATGGTTCGTTAGCGCTCCTCAGTAGAAAAAATTGAGTGAATGTTTACTAATCGTCAATATGGAGCCTGCCACTGTTGTATATATTTGCAAAAGAATGTGCGCACATAGTACGTGTATCCATGTAATTTAAATATGAATGCACTTATATGAATACATTAAAATAACTCAGAATGTGTCCAATCTCGAAAGCTAAGCAGGCTTTTGAGCCTGGGCTACCTTACAAAATTGCAAGGCTGCTTTTGTAGGTAGGAGCAGGCAGTGGAGCAAAATGTATTGTTATGCTGTAATTCCATGATGCCTGCATTCACCAACCCACACTGACTAGCAGAGTGAAGCACAGTCAGATAAGCCACACAATCTGCTCGGACTGGAGAGGTGCTCATCCAGCAGTGGATGCACATGTGCTGTATACCATGTGCGAAACAAATCAGAAAATGAGAAGTCTACAACCACCTAGTATTTCTATCAGCACAATAGAAATATAACATTTATTTCCTACTAGCCTTTTGCCCATCCTAGGACGGAAGCTGTAATATTTACGAAAAGATTGAGCAGAGTATAATTGTATCTTGTGTAAATTTAATGGCAGTGAATCTTGGGCGAAAGTATGTCATCAAACACTTCACTGCATTTCACAGTAGCACTGTATTAAGGGCAGTGAATCTGGCACAAAACGAAGTCATAAAACACTTCACTGCAGTTTACTGTAGCACTATTAATGGCAGGGATTCTTGCACAAAACAATGTCATAAAATACTTAATTTCATGTCACAGTAGCACTGTATATAACTGACCTTTAATTTGTTCATATTCACTGCTCTGATACTTTATTATTTTCTGCTTTCGGTCGCTGGGGTTAAAATTCATTGGAAATCGATAAAATATCTGGAAAATCACCGAGAAATGTCTATTCTACTATAATGTAGAAGCATACATTAAACTTACCTTTTGTGTCAAGTGCTGAAGAAATAAAGACACGAAATCCTCTTTGTTACTGCGTATAATTATTTATTAGATTAACTTTCAATAAAGAAACGTGAAACTTAAAGCAAATTTGCAAAGAGAAAGAAATCTGCGCCAGTGTAAAAACTCACCCGCTCATGATTATTAATGATGGGGGGAGTGGTGCGGAATGTGGAGTGACGTCACGCACGTTACACACAAACATACATTCTTGGCTCATGGTAGTAATTGGGTAACAGTTGGAAATTATTAACGTCACCACATGCATTCCGATGCATGTCACAGTGTAAAAAGCTGTCTATTAGGTAATTTGAGCATGAGCATTGTGCAGTACCATGATTATATGAACATTTTTCGAATCATTATTGTAAAGTAATTTGTTATAAGCTGACCTGCATGTTGTGGAAGATTGATTTTATATTTTCAGAGATTACATTCACTTACTTTTCACGGATGTTTTTAGAACGATCGTGAATTTCTTATGTGTTAAACTTTTATGACTGCTAAGTTTTCATTCATATTGTTATTTGTGTATGTACTATGTTTGAATTCATCTTCTTTGGTTCTTTCGGTAAAGTCACGTAGAATGAGAATAAAATAATAAATTGATAAAATAAAATAACACAATAATATTCTCACGACGTTTCGGCCACAACACAAGCGGCCTTCATCAGGTGAAGGGGCGAGACTGTCTGGTAGGACAGCGAAATTTATGTTTGAATTTTCGATGAAGAAAACCCTACAATATCAACCCTACAAATTTACAGTTTGTTTAAACTACTACATTTATCTAAACAATTGCTACATTACTTAATTAGATTAACAGAATTCCCTTTGCTTTCTGGTAGTTACACAGGTTTATAAATACAGGACGTTAATGTAACTGCATGTTTGCTTTTACATTTAGCTGATTCATTGTCTGCCCACAGGAAATTGCAGACCCATTTTTCGCTCACTGCAAGCAGCACGCCGACCGTATGGACAGGAAGTGGAAGAGAAAGAACTACCTGGCCCTGCAGTCCTTCAGCCGGCAGATCCGCGAGGAGAAGGGAAAGGCTCACCCGGGGGACATGCAGGTTAGTCAGCAGTGAAATACGAGCTGCAGTGCTGCATTGATTAATGCATTGGGGTGTTTGCAGGTACGTTTTACGAATGCGGGGGTGGGATAGTGAGGATGATTGCAATAAGTCGTGATGAGGTCAACGTGTGTTTGCATACGACTATGGATATTTTCAAGGGATGTTTCAACAAGCTTAATATTCCTCAATTTTCCTAGACCTGTAACCGGAACTTTCAGCACACCTCCAATTCGCATCGTAAATGCTATGAGCTTTTTGCGATATTCGCCGCTTCCTTGAGCCGCGCGTTCAGTGCGCTGCTGTTGGACACACTGGTGTGCAATGTGGCATGTGCAGCAGGCACGCATAGATGCAAAGCTGCAGCTGTACCGGGCGCGCTTCGAGCTGGCGAAGGGAACGCGGCCCAGTCCCTGGGTTCCCCGCGAGAAACTGGCGCGCCCACTCACCAGCAGCGCCTCGGCCGTGCGCGCGCTCCTGCTCAAGGCACAGCTGGCGGGGGTGTCTACGGACATCATGCCGGCCGACACCACGGAGCCCGGCACTGGCGACGGCCGCAGGAAGCAGATCCGCCACCCCACGCTCACAGCCGACTTTGTCACATACTACCTGGGTACCTGCATGCATATCAAACCACAATGCCTCTCTGCCTGATGTGTCCCCCCAGTCCCTCGTGTTGGCAGTCATGACTCATTTGATCCCTGGCCTTTGGCACAAAGACAAGTTTATTTTGTTACATTTCATTACCATCTTTCTACATGTAGCAGATGTGATTCGTTTCAAGATAGAATATCAAGGGAGAAAGACTGACCATACCAATATGTGTATTCAGTTTGCCTCTCTTAAACACTCGGCAGACAGGGCTGTGCGGTTGAGTGATTGATGCAATACTGTTTTTATCATTGACAAATGTATCCTCAGAGCTGGATAGGCTAAATTAAAAGTAACTATGAGGTGTCTGGTGGATTAGAAGTCAGAGTGCTGAGCCTATACTCCTGAGAACCTGGGTTTGAATCCAGGAAGCCGTTAGAAGTTGAACTGGGTTTTGAAGTGAGTAGATGGTCTCAGTATTATCATTTAATGCATAAAAAAACATAATGCATTAGTTTTTTGCTATTGTTGTGGATAAAATCACAACTGCTAATTTCCACCATCAGTTTGATTGCCATGTCGCAGACATTACTCTGTAGCAGGTTGAGTGCAAAAGTGCTCCAGCCTCATGTGGATAAAAGGGTCACTTGAAAGGATCGCAAGTAGTTCTGTGATCTCCACTTCTGCAGACTACCTTCTATAATGAGGGGTTGCACTTTCCTGAGGGAGTACCGATTGTATTTTTTATCTCATTACAGTGTGCCAGTATCACTCTTGGGATAAAATTGTGGTAAAGACAAAGAAATAGACAAGTATATAATTATATGTTTACGTAAACATTGATGATTAACCTGTGACCAATAACTTTGCTACTCATGAGAATCATATTATTTGAAGTGGTTACCAAGGAAATAGATCCAGAATCTCATAATGTTTACTCAATACATCTTGGGTTTTTATACGTGCATTTAGATTGTTTTGCTATCTTTTCTGAAGTCGCTTAGATTTGCATATGCGAGTTGTCATCAAGTGATACATTTGAGCATGGGATTTTGCATCAGGTGTGGAACAGGAATCTTAGTAGAACAGTGCTTTAAATACAAATCCACATCCTGGAATGGAACAAACATGTTGTTCGAATAAATCCATTAGCATTAATCAATCACATCATACATAAGCAATTTGTCTACGTTTTACTATCTTATATTTTATATAGTGCACATTCAGAGTGCTGTATCAGCAAGTACAAAATAAGCAGGCAAATAATTAAATGCCGCATATCTTTTAATTATGTTTCTGCAGCGTTTACCGGAAAATCTACACTTTCACATCTGCACATCTCGGTGACTTTTATCTCTGCATGTCTGCCTTTCTCGTGTCTAGACTTCACTATTATAGTCAACTGCACTGTTTTTTTACCTTCAAAGTAGGTGCACTTAAACCTCTCACTCAGGCTATACTGGATGAGCAGCTACGATAAACAGTGAGAGATTGGGGAAGCTTGCTATCTGTTTAACCGCTCTAGACCACTGACACCCGTACAGAGTTGATAAATGAAGCAATTAATAGAGTTTGTTTCACTCTGAAGTTATCTTCTTCCTGCGCTACACAATATGATCATCCATTACGATGGGCTACTTTATTTATCTCTGGTCATTTTTTATAGACTGCTTGAAATTCTGCTCCCTTCTGTGGGCCTTTTCATTTTGTGTCTCAAAAATATAAACACTATATTACACATGCACTCAACGTTATTTTGGAAGGTATTGCAATGCGCATCACGATTTTCACTCTTGGATTATTGAACAAATGTAATGTCTTTCAGTTTCCTGCCAGAATAGGTCAAGAAAAAATATTGTATATTACGGTAACTTCTGGAGAAACGTTGAGTTACATGATACAATAGAGTTTAGCAGTTGGCGTTTAAAAAGTAATTATTTTTTGGACTGCATTCTTTGCATATTTTCCGACATGTACGTATATCTCTTTCTCCATCAGAGCGGAACATGCAAATGATGCAGATCCAAGAGAATATTTGTGACCAGCGGAAGCTGAAGAATGAGCTGCAGAAACAAGAGAAAGCTCTGCGGAGCAGCTATGGTGGGGTACGTCATACAATGCTGTTGCTCTTAGCTCGCAGAAAAGAGAATTACTGTTAAAATAAATGATTCACTGTCTTGATTTAAAGCTTTCGTGACTGCAGGGATTCATATTCTTGGTTCTTTCGGTAAAGTCACATAGAAGGGAAACAATAAAATAATAAAACAATAAAATTCTCACGACGTTTCGACTGCAACACAAGCAATCATCATCAGGTGTAAAAACCACAGCAAGAGCTTTTGAAAAAAGTGGCGGGTTTTTTTTGCCGTGGTTTTCACACCTGATGATGATTACTTGTGTTGCAGTCGAAACGTCGTGAGAATTTTATTGTTTTATATTTTTATTATTTTATTGTTTCCCTTCTACGTGACTTTACCGAAAGAACCAAGAATATGATTCACTGTCCTTTCCATAACAATCACGTGTTCAGTAGATACTGATAGCTATCATTTAAAATGTAATGCTCTCGTGGTATTTGTTCTGTCTAATGTAGTAATTTGGTTAATTGATGAAATCCCATTGCAAGTGTATTTGTGAATGCAAATTCCACATCGGATCTCGTTGAACAAAGGAGATGGTTTACTACGTGAATAGTTTTCTCTGGGTATTTATGCCAATTGTCTCATTGAAGTGGATGTTACATACCCTGTAGCATCATTTGCAGGTGTAGGCCATTTAAGGTTCAATCCAAAATTTGAAAGAAAAAAAAACCTCCTCTATTGCTAAATAAAAACACTGCTAAATAACTATACTAACCCAATTTTCACTTGTAAAATAATGAATTGCAATGTATTCTCACGTTGTGAAATAAATAATCATTTTAAAATATATAACATGCAAAACAAGTCAACATCCGTTTAGTCAGTGAAGATATTTTTCTACCAATGTGTAGCTGCCCTGGGTATTGTTTTAATCGGATGTGTCTAGGCTATCGTAGTGTTGGGCAGTGTGGGAATTCGTTACCATGTGCATTTGACTCAATTTATCCGAGAACATGATTTGGTTAAGGCCATGATTATATGCAGTGTGAGACTGCAAAGACACCTTACAAATGCAATTGTCAGCTGTTTTTGTTGCTTGTAAAGTACATAGGCTTACCTTGTGTGATATCTACACAATATAAAGATCATATGTCCTGCATTGTGTTTTGCAAACATTTAATTTTGAAAACCAGCTGTCTTAAACTCATGTTCTGTTTTATTTAGATTGTAATATATCAATATACCGTATATTAGACTTCCCTGTAATTCTTAATTTTTTCAATCCTTAAAAAATATTTGGTGGTGTCCCCTAATTTTACGTGAGTTGTGCTATCAGTGTAATCTCATTAGACGAAGAATCCATTTGGATCTCTTCCACAGCAGTGCAGAGCCATGTTAGAGAATAGCCGAAGCAAATGGATGTCACAGAGCTACCACTTTAAATGACCTCTGGTCCACACTGTAGGGGGCAGCACTTTCCCCATCCACACTGCCACAAAGGGTAATGTTCAGCACATGACAGTCAAAGCAATATTTGTCATTCTAAGAGCTGTAATTTAGCAAAGTAAAGGGCAAAAACAAATGAAATTGTTTTTTTTCTGTGTATGCAGTCATTGGTGTCTGGGCTGAGACTATTGACTTATTACAGTTGAGAACCTGGTTTAATCACAGGTGGCTGTCTGGATTCGAACAAAATGATTTCTGAGCCACCCAAAAAAATCCTCTTCATTTTTTCTCTTACAGCTTATGGAGACCTTGGACACCTTGAAGAGTCTGAACAATAAACTCCAGCGAGAAGGGCACACCTTGTGGAGCACCCTAGGGCAGATTACTGGACAGGTCTGCCTAATTAAGCTTGAACACTGGGTGGCTGCTTGTTGTATTGTTCTTGATGAATTCTGGGAGAAACTGTAAGTGCCTTGTGTATACAGCATAACTACCTTTGACAACCTTTTTAAAATGTGTACATTTAAACACTGCTGAGTGGAAACCACAGTGTGAATTATAAAAATCACAAATATTCCAAATAACGGGAAGCAAACAATGTTATACTGGACATATTTACATTCATAGTAATACCTTTGGCAGCGTAGTGAATCTATTCTTTTTTTATGCCGTTGAAAAGTAATGAAGATCACGGTGAGGACATAAAAATCCATCCCACAGAATGCGAGCAAAATGAGATGTGCTGGTGATGTATAGGACAGTATCCGTATCTTTAAAGGGAGCCCTTTGTGTTGCCGACCAAGGCCGAATTCAAACAAAAGCTGCTCTGCATGCGGCGTGTGCGCACGTCCCGGATGGCTGAGCAGCTGCGCCCACGTGGGATGCCTCTCGATGCGACTGTGATGGATGTGCCCGCCGAGCCAGCGAGATCGGGTGCAGATTAGCCCTGGTAGCCTGGAGCCTGGCCAAATAAGATAATTTTTCTAATTAACCTTCAGAGTCCACAAGCTTGGCCAGCGTTACCATGCTCGACTCAAAACCACTAACATTCATCTTGTGCGGTGCAGGCTCCAGCCCTTAGGAAATCTATCATGGGTTCAGATAAGGCAGAATGGAGCACACTCACAGTTTTACTTTCGCGATTCATGAAAACTTTGCTCAGATTTCCCACACCAGAAGTGCGTGGTCAAGATGAATTAGTAACAAAAACTTTTGTCAGTGCAGAATGCAAATGAGAAGGGCTTTCAAATTAAGTGGCAGCTTTTAATTTGATCCCACTTTTATGGGATTTTGTTTCGTCATAAATACTTTAAATTTATTATTAAATTTAATTAATCAAAACCTTGGTGCCCCAGTGTAAAGTACATTATTTGGAAATGTCCTAACAATATATTTATTGGAGATTTGTTAATTTTTATATGAACATATCTGCAGAAATCCAAGCACTGAATTATTTTCTTACATATCAAAACCAATTCTGATAAATGGTAAAAGATGTCAAATTCATCAGAATAATTCAAAGCATTAAAATTGGAAATTGTAAGCCATCATTGTGATTGATCATACATTGCATTGTGATATCATTCCTAAAGGACTCCGCTTCCATACGTATGCATGGTCAGTTTACTTGAGTGATAGGTTTGCATTAATACATCTACTGCTACACATTGAAATGTGGCACAAAATATTGCATTGTAGGCAGCGGTTGAGTGTTGTACACCCAATTTGCATATGTATTCCCAGCTGAGTACCTTAGCTGAAAAATCTTCATAAGAAAGTGATGCTAGACAATTCTGTCAAAATGGTAAGTAGTTGAGATGATTCTAAGCTTTTGTGTGTTGCTGTTCACAGTTGCGTAGTGTTTAATGTGTCATAGCATTTTTTACTTGCAGAAACTGACGCAGCCTTTAGTACTGCGAGTACTGAGGGAGCAGAAAAGCAGCCTCATGAAATCGGGTCAAGAAGCATCTGTGTCCCTCCCTCAGATTCTGCACAGGTACCTACTATCGCAACACTGGAAGTAGCCCTTGAGGGTCAGAGAGCTTTCCTGCACCTTGATTCTATATACGTGTTAATTGGCACAGTGAAAATTGGTTCTTGGATTAAATGCACTTGCTACATCTAAACCCAGCAGATTCAGAATGAATATTTTTTTCAAGTTACATATTTAACATGTTGCATCGGTTTACAAGTTGATGGATAACTACTGTTACAGGTTTGTTTTTGTGAAAAATGTATTTACTCTGGAATTAAAACGGTAAATGTATGTGTTGTCTACATGTGCTACCACCTGCCCCAGCTGTGGCATTTGCCAGGAGAGCAGTGACCAGCACCTGCTCACACAGTGTGACACCTGCCAACGCTACTACCATCTGGGCTGCCTGGACCCCCCTCTTACCCGCATGCCACGCCGCAGCAAGAACAGCTATTGGTCAGACAGTGAGACACACTGGCATTCCCATTTGTACGATGTTGAAAGGGCTTCTGCTTTTTGCTCATACATAGAGCTGAGAGAGGCCTTTGCCCCAGCAGTAGAAAGTTACAGCCTGATAACAACAACAAATCCGTTGTGCCAAATTGCTACACGGCTATGTTTGACCAATGGCTAATAATAATAATAACAAGAATTGTTTGTCGTTGCTTTGTGAATATCATCCAGTGGGATTATTTTCCTGTCTCGAATAGCACGATGCCAAAGGGTCAGCACGTTCATTGCATTATCTCTGATAAGGATGTGACACTTTATAAAAAATAACTGCCCAACCACTTAAATTGGAAATCCTTATTCTTCCTTAAGCAAAACATGGTGTACAGTTGGGCATCAGGGTGGTACATATTTTATAAAGAGTAAAAGTGTTTATGCATTATAGGTTGGCAGGGTGGCGCAGTAGCAACACTTGTGCCTCACAGCAAAAAGAACAGACTCCGACGCCTGTGTGTGGAGTTTGTGTGTTCTCCCTTTGTTCTGCAAAGATTGAATTCGGCCTCTCCGGTTTCCCCCTGAAGGTAAAAAAACCCCATAGAATGTCGCTGAAATTGGCCCAACATAGCAATGATGAATAATTACCTACTAATAACCTGATTGGGATTACGCAGAATTACATTGCCCCTACTTCAAAAAACACTTGACTCGGTGAGGCCTTTCCTGGGTGAACTATCATAAGAATAAATAGTTATGTCTGTCAAGATGATCTAGTATGAACAAAACTTTAATATAATGTATTGTTGCTATAGGGACTGACTCAATAGAAAAAATAGACAATTTGATCAAAGGGTTACACAAAACTTAGAGACCCACTTTAGTGCTTAGAGGACCAGCCTTGGTGTCCCAGGCTTGGTTGTCCACCCAGCCTTGCCAGGTGAGGTGCTCTCTCCCTAGCAGAGTGACTAAGTGACTGTCCGAGCCCCACAGTCTCATCGCTGTCTTAATTCGTACGGCTTCCTTTAACTGACCCAAAGGGCTGTAGATTATAATGGCTTCTGCCTTGTTAAACTACGTTACATTTTTTTGGCTCAGTAAAATAATTTGTACCAACTTGTCCTCTATCTGTTTAATGCCACAATAGTACATCGGCGCATAACAATTATGCTGTTGGCTGACAATCTGCACAAGTCAGGAAACATTAACCTTTGCAATTATTGAGCAATCGTCTTATCAGAATATAATACCTAATAATTGTTAAAAATACAAAATATATTAATCACAATTATGACAATATATGTTATTTACTTTTTCCTCGAGCAATACTAAGCAGAACAATGCTGTAATGTCCTATTTATGATGTTGCAATCATCATTGACACTTATATTTATTTGACGCACCACAAAATATCACCGATTGTTTTGTATTTTTCATCTTGTGAAGAATGTTTGTTGGACTTTAAATGTCAGCGCATGTGCTTTTACTTTTCTCAATACAGTAGTTTACTCATGCAAACAATTCTCATTAGGGTGGATCTTGACCAGGCTCTTAAAGTGTTAATTAATTTACATTTGTCCTGCTACTTGGGAGTCAGTTTGATTGATTATTATTACAGCTTCTTCATAATTGGAAGCACATAGTTTGTGCTAATTATTATTAAATTACATTTTAGCAACCCTGCATCAACTCTCTAAGCCAGTGAACTGTAACAATTTGTGTTACAGATCATGACGCTATGTAAAAATACTTTCCAAGTTAATTAAAATACTTTCATACTTGAGTTAATTTTTCTTTAAAATATTTCAGTTTTTGTTTAAGTGGATCAGTATACATGTGTACAGCCTATGCCTCGTTAGGCTTTCAGACACTGAATTTGATCAGATTTAGTCTGTGGTGTATTATTGATTAATTGGGCTTTTTTTGTTTGTCAAATTTTGGCTCTTTTAACCAACTTGCGTTTTATGCTATGGTATTTCTGTGACATGTTGTCTTGGTGAAACAGCTGCAACCTTTATATTTTTATATACACTTTTTTTTGCCAACGGAACTAGGATTTGTGACTTGCAATTGACTTTCTCCTGTACCAGGGTGGGGGAATCTATGGTTCACGGACCAATTACAGCCCATGAGTTGCTTTTAATATAGCCCTCGGCCACATGAAGCCTACCACTTGAAAACTCTATTTATCCATCACTGCTAGCATCTTGGCATCACTAATTAGGTACTCGAGGGGAATATTTGTTTTATCTTGCAACACTTTTAATTTGAAGGCACGTAGTCAAAGGCTCCTAGGAGTGACTGTATCGCTCAAGGTATTTGGAAGTGTCGTTTTGTCCCTCGCTAAAGGAAATGGTTCCCCCACCCTTTTGCTACACGGAGATGTGAAGGTTTTCTTGCATGTCGCCATGTGAACGTGTGCACGCAGGCAGTGCTCGGAGTGTGACAGGTCAGGCAGTAGCTCGTCCGATGGTGACGCCACCGCGGAGACGCTGCTGGACAGCATGAAGCGCTCTCGGCGACAGGTGAGGGAGCCCATCAAGTTTACGCAGCTCCCCGACTCCCCGTCCGAGGACAAGAAAGTAAGTCTCTCGGCTGCGTCGCAACCTCGCGTGTGTGCGCTTAGCATGAGTGTGCTACAGCACGTTTATTAAAAGCATCTGCGTGAGTGCGTTGAAAACTTTTAAACATAACTGTATTAATTGCAGGGTTCTTAAAAAAAGTCTGAATTTTTTCTGCATAGAAATATGTGCAGAACCAGAATCTAATGAAGGGACATATAAAGAGCTGATTACATCACTGCAACAGAGCCTGTTTCCAAATGTCTCTTGTTTAAAATAAAAAAAATATATATATTCTTAATGACATAAAGCAGAGCTTGGAAATCAGTTGCATTATGCAAATGGGAAATGTTATTTCAGATGATGAAGCCTAATATGTAGATGCCTTAATAAGTTAATATAATTTAATTACACAAATGAACACTGCCTTGTTATAATGTTGAATTTGTCGTGTCATTTTTGTCTTTCTTTTTCATCTCTTCATGTAATTGATGTTGATATTCTTAAACATTGGAATAGCACTGGCATTTATCTTGTTTGATGTACACATTTGTGTGCAAGCCAAATATGTACACGAACATGAATAATATTTTTCTTGCCAAGCGCAAAACTGGATTGTAAGACTCTATTCAATGACCAAACGTACTTTGTATACGAGGGTGAATATTGTCTGCCGCTGACATGCAGCGACACAGGTCCGTGAGCTGCCATTTTTGGGGGGATGTTGTTACGTTTGCAGTGAATGTTAGTCTTTCTCCGCACGGTCCCACCAGACTATAGTCACGAAGTTATTTCTGTTAAATATTAAATACAGTTCTCCATATGCATCTACAGTTTTCTAGGTTTTCATTGCAAAACACCGTTATGAATCCCAGTAAGCTCTCGCTTAAGTCAGTAACACGTATTGAAAACAATGTAAGTTCTAAAATGTTCATATTTGGCATTTGTTAGCATTATTTGAAATATCGATCTTGTTAAATCTTTCAAGATACTATATAGTACAAATCCTCAAGACTAGCCTCCAGTACAGGCATTCACTATTTATGTGATTAACGGAGACTTTAATTATTAATATTGCTTGGTAGGAGCAGCTGCATGTTTTTTTTACTACATTTTCTCAAATTCTTAACTAATAGCTATATTACATTTTTATTTAAAGCTTTCGTGACTGCAGGGATTCATATTCTTGGTTCTTTCGGTAAAGTCACGTAGAAGGGAAACAATCAAATAATAAAAATATAAAACAATAAAATTCTCACGACGTTTCGACTGCAACACAAGTAAACGTCGTGAGAATTTTATTGTTTTATATTTTTTGAATTTTATTGTTTCCCTTCTACGTTACTTTACCGAAAGAACCAAGAATATAATAGCTATATTGTTTGCGCGGGAAGTATGTTATATACATTATATAATGTAATAGCCATGCAAGTAGTATATCTCGATTTCCCCTGTACGTTTACCAGGTCTGTTTTGCAAATTCGAATGGTATATATATGCAGCAGTCGATTAGAATGCAGATATGATCCTTACTCCTGCTGTGCCTTTTATTTTGTTATTGCAAATGGACCATCTTTTAGGCATGGTATTTAATGCATGATTTGCATTTGTCTTGGGTTTTCCTCATTTCTACCCTCATTATTTCGGCACTTACTTTGATTACCTTGAGTTATTGGCTTATATATTGAATCCTTCAAATCCTAAGAATTTTACGCTTTCTGCTTTTTTGTATAACATAACAGCATCTACAGAAGCAGCAGCGGTCAACAATGTGCCCTAAAAAAAGGTGTGCGATTGGAAAGGTAGGTTGTGTTGCTCATAGATATGTGTTGTGCACTGAAATATTTTCAGTAATGCAACAAATGCTTTCTGTGTTATTGCATCATGCCATTGCTCACTCCGAAAGCTTACGTGCATATTCACTTTCATTTACTTTTCAAGAGACGTAAAAGAGGAAGGAAGAGAAAAGCAAAGGAGGAAGAAATTGAAGAAGAGAAACCCAAGGTATGGAGCATAAAATAGCAATGCACCACGGGCGTCGTCTATTGGTTTACACTTAAAATGTGTCTTGTAAACATGACAATACATTGTTAGCGTGCATCTCAATTGCATATCAATAGGAAAAGGACAGGACAGGGAAAATGTACGTAAAACATTCCAAAAGGTCCTCCGTCTTCCTTTAAAATGAAGTACAGTAAAATGGTTTACTAAGCAAACAGTTTGTAAAGTCTCGTATTATATGAGGAAACAAGGTTGTATGTGTAACTGTTTTCTTGCTGTAAATAAATACACCTGAAAGGTGCCCATGAAATAGAGTTGTGCAGTATAAGAATGTGAATCATGTTGCTCTTAGCTAACACATTCACATGAATAATCACATGGATAACTGCATTGGATAATGTGTTTGAGCATATGCAATTTTCACGCCGAATAATGTTGTAGTGGGTCACCCTGCGGCTGGGCCACAGTTTCTAGAAATCTACGTAACTGACGCCAAATGAATTGCCACGCATCACGTGTGTTTGTCTGTGTATCTGCCAAATCCCCCCATTCCCCCATCCCCTCGAAGGTTTGTCCGTCATGTGCCTTGCCAGCTTTCATAAGTGCTACTCGCTAACAGCACTTGCCCCAATAGTTAAGGCTATACGTGGGTTATTTGTCTTCCAAACCCCCTCCCCCCCCCCACCCCCACTGAAGGTTTGTCCCAAGCCAAGAGAGCCCAGGCATTTCGGTGCAAAAAAACCAAAGGCGGAAGAGCAGCAAATACAGTGCACGACATGTGGCAGCTCGGGGAGCAGCGACACCACAGTGAGGTGCTTCGCCCGTCGCGTTGCGTTCTGCACTCTTAAACATGCCCAGAGCCACACTCACAACTAGCACGTTTATTCCGATTTTCAGTTTACCCCAACTTTTTTTTTGCTCCCATTCTCAAATTCACTCCTCTCTTATTTTCATCCATCTCTTCATTTAATAGTTTCAATCCTGATCTACCTTCATGAATTGTTCTCGGTATCTGAATTCTGTTGTTTTCCAACTGTGTCCCTCCAACAGTTTATTTTTTGTGTCGTGAACTTGTACGCGATTGCTAATATTTATCTTAGGCCCTGCTTTGCAGCCTTCCTTATTGGTGTTTCTAAATCATTTCCTGTAACTTGTTTCCACCGGCTGTGCTATCAGAAAATCTGAGACGTATAATTTCTCTATTTTAGTTTTATGCCTTCATTATTCTCATCGGAAAATATATAATGTTTGTGTGATAACTTTGGCAGAAGTGTGTCTCCTGGTCTTAATCCCCATCTCATTTGTATTCATTACTGTCTTCATGCAGTCTCAGTGTAAGTTCTAGTTTTGTAAATTGATTTATTATTTGAAAATATTTTGTTTTATACCTGGTATTGCTCATAGCTTGGATAATTGTCTCAGTTTCCACTGAGTCACTTGTCTTTTTATAGCCTACAGAAGTTAGACATTGGAATTTTATATTCATTATTCTTTCCCATCTGATAGATAGTATGTGTTGTGGTCTTTGGTAGAGAAACCATTCATAAACTCAGCTTGCGCTTGCGTTTGGGTGGCCTGTGCATTGTTTTTTTGTCTTCCCGATAATCTTTGCGAACAACTTGGATACGTGTGATAGGTTCCTGCACATTACCGATTACGTGCTACAACTTTTGTCCTCGTGAACAATTTTCCCAGTGTAATTTATTGGTATCTCGAGTGTTTTTTTTTACATGTCCGCTAGATTGACATTACTTCAATTACGTACTATTATAATACAATTATTGTGAATATTCCAGGTAGTAAGCCCCACGGGTAGAGAGAGAGGGGGGGCTGGTGGCCCTCGGACCGTCTTCAGAAGAAATTGAAGCAGGCTGCGTGCCGGCTCGTGCTGGTTCCAGTTGTACAGACTTAAGTGCTACACGTGGCATTGCGTTTCCTCCCAAGCTCGTCCCATTATATCAGACAAGATGGTGTCGGGCCGTGGACCATGAACTCATTTCTGAGAAGTTATTGGTGCTGAAAGGGCTGCTGAAGGGAGCGGCTATTTTGCTGTTGGATGATCGGATTAAATATCAGCGCACTTTGAGCAGCCATGTGCATAATGCAGTATCCGGCATCAAGTTTGGTACATGTGTAATTATTCGCTTTCGAAATGATATATGGGGATTTAATGCTATATTCATAAAGAACACAAGTTTTCATGAATATCGAAGTGGATGCCTCACAAAATAGAATTGATTCAGTGTGATGGATAGCTACGTGACAGCCACAGGTTTTCAGAGATGTCTCCGTCAAGTGCTTTCTGTAAAGAGTATGCAAGAAATGTGGGGACCCAGGCACACATTAAATTTACTGGGAGAGACAGCACTGCATTATGAACACTTTATGTGAATTACATTTTTGCACAAGTCATCTTAAAGTTTTCTGCTGGTCATGCTTTATGCATTTTTGTATCATTATGTTTATTGTCACGTCCTTTTTATCTGTATTGTTTAAAATTTATAGCACATAATGTCTTGTGAACATGGTACTAAAACTGTTGATGTAATTCTATAGTAATGTTCTTTGCTTTTTTTTATTGGTGGGAGAGTTGAGACAGGAGGTCGAAACAGCATCGGCTGTTGGAAGAGGGAGAATACATTCTCTCAGAACTCGTCAGTGTTTGTGTCGCACACTCTGTAATCTCTTCACAGCAGCTTTTAGCTAACCATTGAACAAAGACGGTCACCGCATCACACACTTTCAGATGCGCCTATGCGGCTATCTGGAACGCTCTTCCTTCTGATATTAGGAAGCCACTGGAGCTTTGCACTTTAAAATCTAGATTGGAAGCAATTTCTCTAGAACTGCTTTTTGTGTTTAGTTTGTTGTCCTTCCCCCACACCTCCAATAAGCACGGTTGTCTACGTATGGTGCGAATTAATTTAAACATACATACAAGGACTGTGATCACATGACCACTTCTTTGGGTTCGATGATGCGTGGTGGTAGCACGGTGTTCATGAATGAGTCTCCATGTATTCATGCACGCGAGCCAGTGACTCCTCCTTTGAGTAGTACGGTAATCAGAAATGCAGTTGGCATATCTACAGCATTACATAAATTCCTGAATGTGACTCGTGATTAAAAGGGTAGCAACGTAAGTGATAGATGATATCACAATTTAACCTCTTGCAGCCGGACTGATGTTGGGAGAGAGCCTCTCCGGTTGTGGGGGATTTCTGGCATCCAACACATAAATAACTAATTGACTACATTTTGACTTAAAGCTTTCGTGACTGCAGGAATTCATACTCTTTGGGTCTTTCGGTAAAGTCACGTAGATAGGTTCAAAGAAAATAACGAGTATAATTGACTACAATTAAATTAACTTTGCACTCATGTAACATCTAACACGCTTCATTAACACTCAATGACTTGCTAACAATTAACTTAACATTTATAGTATAACATTTACAATTGAAGAAACGCTTAAGTCGCTACAATTAAAAATGAGTCGCAACATAATGAAACTTAGGTAAGGAGCCGAAGTTCACTGGATGTGGAAAGCTCCATTTCTTATCGTGTGGTCATTAAATAATTATTACAACATTTTATTTGTTAATACACTGAAAAAACACGAGTGATATCGTACGGATAATGTGGATAGCCGACATCTCTTGGGGGCACGGCTTCACAAATTGACACACTCAATTATTTTTACGTGCATTTTCAAAGTGAATTAAATTTCTTGTTTTAGTCAAACATGCATGATAGCGAAATAAATGTATTTAATTTGTGTGCATAATGTCCAAATTGAAAGTGGAACGTCATCATTAGTTGCCCCTGTTATAGGCTAATATGTGAGTATTGACTGCAGAAGGCCGTATGGCTTGTCACGAGCAGCTTAATTAATTAGCATGGGAGCAACAATCCAGTCAGTTTTTTGGTTTCTTTAATACTTGAAATCGATTATTAAATAATTTTCTGGGAACCCCTATGGCTTACCCAAATGTCTGGCTTGAGTCCAGATTTTGCGAGGTTTTACTGTGAACTAAACTTAAAGTTTTGAGTGAGGTTTTACAATTAAAATCACATTGGAGACTGCTGCATAATTAATGTCCTCCGCTTTCCAGATTAGCGAAAGCTCACTGAAATGCATGGTTTAAAAACGCTATTTATCGACAAAATCCCCAGCCCTTTCAAATAGCATGAAACCCAGTGGCCGTTTAGAGATCAGACAGCGTCACGGCAGGAGGCCTCAGATAAATGGCCGATGGGCCGTAAGTGATTAGGCAATGGGATGTGTTTGAAGAGAAATCCGTCAAAGTGGCGTTAAAGTCGTCTAGACATAATTGGATTTGTTAGGAGAGCGTTGGGGGATTAATGTTGCAGGGCGGTAGCTGGCTTCATACTCCGAGCCATACTGAAACACACGCGGTTTTAATTCTTTACTAAATGAATACAGAACACTATTTTGTGCTACATTATGCCACTACAAACCACTTATGGGCAACTGAAGCAAAGGGTACGTGCTGGTTTAATTTCACTGTCTAAAAGATGCTGCTCACTGCAACTCAATAATTTTAATGTATTACAGCACTTTCCATTACATTAAATAAATCTGCTGTCATGGTAATTTCCTGTATTTCAGTTTATTTGGAAAGAAAACCCCTCTCTTCACACATAATTTTTCTGTTTGAGATTTTTCTAAAGTCAATATTGATAGAACTTAAGGAAGTAGGGCTGTTATTTCTAATACAATACCATATATTGACTAGAAGTAAATTACATTTTACGGATGTATATTTGCTTTAAATATTGATTGCAGTGAACATAATATTAGGAAGTGTTGAAGTTATAGATTACAAAACAATTAGCCCAGTTTGATGACGTCATAGTATTTGTTCTTTCAGTTACATGGACGTACATTTTTAGAAGTGACACATGTGACAACACATCGTATAGAGCAATGTATTATGCACCTCAATACAAATGCAGGTTAGGGAATAGTTATAAGGCATGTAGAGAGTTTGTCTAAAGAATGAAAGGCTCACATTTCGGACAGCAGTTAATCTTTTGCATTTTATGTTCACCCAGGAAAGTGTGGGATTGAAAGCTTGACCTTGTGAAGAGTTCCGCTTTCCCCGGTTAGCAGCGGTGTTCGGCTGACTGATTTAACAGCGAGTTGAGCGCTGATATTCACGCCTGTGCGTTTATCCCCCTGGCTGGAGCCATCTGTCCCCAAAACGTTGGTCCTAAATCAGCCCTACAAATGCAGGCAGGCCCAAACACCATGCCACTACATCGCATTAGATGTATTAAATAACTACGGCTCAATGCATTTCAATTTTGAATTAATGTAGCAAATGAATGTTTTACAGTGGCATTGTGTGTATGATGAAATGTTAATGGTTTGGTAAAATATTGTTACTGCGGCAGCAGCTGCCATGAAGTGATTCAGTGGTGCTCACTTTGTTATATTCCTGGGCATCAGATGTTTATCCTGTCCGGATTTACAATTCAAGCCCTTTCAGATTCATCGTGCGACCGGGATGTCCAAATGTGATTGCTAATAAGAAGAAGGCTTACTTTTTAATTAACTCTGAGTTATTACTGAAATTGTCGGAGCTTAAATCAATATTATGGTATTCTATGGTTCTTTTGGTAAAGTCACGTAGATAGAAAATAAAAATATAAAAAAACTCACGACGTTTCGATCGCAGCACAAGCGCTCGTCATCAGGCGGAGAGAAAAAGGGGGGCAAATCTCTAACTGCAACTGCTTCTAAAGGTCTAAAATGGGCGCAAGAGCAGTGGGGCAGCATGAATGGACGAGCTAAAGTTGTGAGTGGGCGGGGCATAAGAGTCGTGGTGCCGGGCTCGTTCGGCGTAGTCCAAGTGTCAGCAGCATGGGCGGGGCAGCTAATGTTAATGTGGGAGAAGACAAAGGGGGAGAGAGAAGGGAGAGAGAAGGGGCAGAGGTAGGGGGAGAGAGAGGGGGGTAGAGATAGGGGAGAGAGAGGGGGGGGAGAGAGGGGGGAGAGAGAGGGGGTAGAAATAGGGGGGAGAGAGAGGGGGTAGAGATAGGGGGAGAGATAGGGGAGAGAGATGGGGGGGGAGAGATAGGGGAGAGAAGGGGGTAGTCATAGGGGGAGAGAGAGGGTGTAGAGATAGGGGGGAAGGAGTAGAGATAGGGGGAGAGAGAGGGGGGGGGGGGTAGAGAGGGTGTAGAGAAAGGGAGACAGAGAGGGGGGAGAGATAGGGGGAGAGAGGGGGGAGAGATAGGGGGTAGAGATGGGTCGGGGGGGGGCATCGCATCTCGCCCCACACATTCACACTGCTGATGGTGGAAGTTGACAAGAAATTACACATCAAGTAATGACCCAAAGTGGTTTATGAAATCTTTCCAATGATTGCTGAATTTATAACCGTCTTCTCGGTGGAAATTGTGTTTGTGTCTATATATGTGGATGTCTTCATGAACGAATCTTTGTTAATAGCCAGTAGGCTTGCAAAGTACCATTGTTTTAGAGAAATCAATTTCGTGTGAGCCAGCCGCATTAAAATAATGATCCAGTTACGGCAGAAGTATTGGTCCTACCGTGTTTCTAATCTGCCTTATGTTCACAAACACGGTCCGAGACATGTCGTTACATTTTTGCAATTACTAAAAGAAAATGTCTTGGAACGTGTTTGTGAACATAAGGCAGATTTGAAACACGGTAGGACCAATACTTCTGCCGTAGCTGATCATAATTTTAATGTGGCCGGCTCACACGAAATGGATTTCTCTAAAACGATGGTACTTTGGAAGCCTACTGGCTATCAACAAAGATTCGTTCATGAAGCCATCCATATATACAGATACAGACACAATTTCAACTGAGAGGAAGGTTATAAACTCAGCAATCATTGGAAAGATTTCATCAACCACTTTGGGTCATGACTTGATGTGTAATTTCTTGTCAGCCTCCACCATCAGCAGTGTGGATGTGTGGAGCGAGGTGCGATGCCCCCCCCCCATCTTTACCCCCTCTCTCTCCCCCTTTCTTTACCCCCTCTCTCCCTCTATCTCTCCCTCCCTTCTCCCTCCTTCTATCCCTACTCCCTCCCCCCCATCTCTACCCCCTCTCTCTCCCCCTATCACTGCCCCCTTCTCTCCCCTATCTCTCCCCCCGATCTCTCCCCTGTCTCTACCCCCCTCTCTCTCCACCCTATCTCTCCCCCTCTCTCTCCACCTATCTCTACTATCTCTACCCTCTCTCTTTCCCCCTATCTCTACCCCCCTCTCTCTCCCCCTACCTCTGCCCCTTCTCTCTCCCCCCTCTCTCCCGTTGTCTTCTCCCACATTAACATTAGCTGCCCCGCCCATGCTGCTGACACTTGGACTACGCCGAACGAGCACGGCACCAAGACGCTTATGCCCCGCCCACTCACAACTTTAGCTCGTCCATTCATGCTGCCCCACTGCTCTTGCGCCAATTTTAGACCTTTAGAAGCAGTTGCAGTTTGAGGCTTGCCCCCCTTTTTCTCACCGCCTGATGACGAGCGCTCGTGTTGCGATCGAAACGTCGTGAGTTTTGGGGTTTTTAATGGTTATTTATTTATTTACTTCCTATCTATGTGACTTTACCGAAAGAACCATAGAATATGAATTCCTGCAGTCACGAAAGTTTTAAGTAAAATTTTTAATATTAAGGATTACATAATGAATCAGTAAGCACATTGCTTGGGAAATAATTTCAATAAAGAAAATGAAACTGATGAAAGTGAGAATGGATCAAGGTATAGAATGTATTTTTACATTATGGAATACACAATCACGCACTTTCTTATCTTTAAACATATATAACTAGCATTGATATTTAAAATTGTGCATTTCCTCACCGTGTCTGCTGTTTATTAATTAGAATTGGAAGAAAAGCAAAAATATTATTTTTTTTCTCTTTGAAATAGCATATCTTGTGGAACTTTTTTCACAAAAAAAACTAATATAAAAAAATGTTTTTCTTTGGTGCATCATATTTTTCCATTAAATAGTTGATAGACAATAATGAAAGGCTGAATGTTATTGCTGAAGATCTAACCACAAACCCTTGAATGGTAATACAATGAAATGCTGGGTAGAAACATGATCGCTGTGTGTTGTGTGTTTCTTGTTTGTACTTCTGTTGCAGGTGTGATCAGTGCACCCTGAATTACCACTTTGGCTGCCTCAACCCACCCCTTAAGAAGTCGCCTAAGCAGTTTGGTTACGGTTGGATATGTCAAGATTGCGACTCAACGCCATCAGAGGTGAGACCTTAATTTGGATCCCCTTGCCAAGAGCAGTGCTGCTTTCTTTGTACCTGTTACATGGTGAGCCTGACATCAGCCACTGCTCCACTGAATTTATTATCAGTACTTGCAAAAATGTATTTGTAAACTCACTGGAGCATCAGTGATTGCAAATTGTGAACGCATCTGCGTCATTGTGTAAATGAAAGCATCCATTTTTTAAACCAGGGCATGCAGAAAGATGTGACTAAGGCTGTGAATTAGTTATAAATTACTACATTCATGGAAACTTTAAAACAAATGTTTTGTACACAATGGTTTTGATGACAGAAATGATGCAGGATGAATTGATTTTTCTAAAACACAAATGAACAATTTCTTTGACATTGACCATTACTAACATGCTTAAAACAAAATCTGAGACTGCTAGGTTTCTTTGGGACGTATATATGTATATACATAATTTAATAAAACGCAATTAATAGATTACGTACTACCATGTTTGAAAACTAATGTGTACTTGCGATTAAATGTAAGACAAAAAATATCAGGAATACATTCTAAATGTGCCACACACGATATCTATTTGGATGTTCTTTTGGTACTAGAACTCTCAAGCTGAGTGTTTATTTTTTTATTACGTTTTAATAATGTAACACATTGTATGATGTTAAAAAAAACACACTGAAATAAACACACTGGCATTTAAAAAAGTCTGAATTATGCATGTACCTCAATGATTTATATTCGGACCATAATGTATTTTTCTAATGTGTAAGCATCAACCTCACCAGTAATAATTGTGTAAGATAAGATGGTTTGCTTTGCAGTAAAGCAGTTCACTGCCATGAACCAGGGATCTCTGTATTTTAATGAGTAATGCCCCTTGTTGAATATTTATGGTGTCATTTTAAACATCTCATTTATAGTTCGGTATAAGTACACAGCTTATCCTTAACCTGCATGAGAGAATGGTTATGTTTATGGGTTCTCGGCCACAATAACTCGACAATAATAACGTGTAGTGTTACTCTCATATATTGAAATAACGTATTTTCCTATAGCTGCTAGGTAATGAGGTCTTTGTTTTAGCTGGGTAAGAGCAGGGTGACAGTATTGCAATTATGGTGGCAAAAGTGGGTAATTAGGCACGATTTGTTTGCTTGTTAAGGGCAGCCTTGTGAAAGTTCACCACTGCTGAGATGAAATCAATAATCAGGTTCTCAGTGTCAGATAGGAAACTGACATCTGGTATCTATAACCCTGCTTGATACAATGCTACACACCACCCACCCGCAGCACTCTTAATGAGTAATTTAAGGTCAAAAATCACCAGGAAACAAAATGGCATATTTCTTTCACATCCACCCTTTTCTTCCCTACTTCCATGTCATTTTGTCATCACAAATTAGTTTGTCCCCACACACTATGGCTTTATTGAGGATTTGCATGTGCCCTCCGAACGAATTGAATGAGGATTTTTCTTGTTCCTTGCATTAAATAATAACAGCGCAGTCTGTGTACTTGTATAGTGATGCAAGGGAAAGATTAACTTCTCACACATGGGATACCGTTAAGAAATACTGCTGTTGTGAGAGTGTTTATGTTGACACAAAGTTAAGCGATTGCATATATGACGGGCTTAATGTTGATAATATAAACTGCACTTGGTAACCCACAGTGCCTTTTCTGTGATGTATTCTTTATAGCACATGGGGAAGTGTCGCCTTTGGGCGTGTGCCGTTCTATGAGTGGAACAACAATAATTTAAATGCAACTTGCCTTGTATTTCCACTGCTGCTGCTTACTCTTGGGTAGTATCATGAACAGCATTTCCAACAAATTTGACTCTGAAAGTTTACAATTGCAGCTTTAATATTGCGTACCAATAGGTGCATGTTTGTCCAGGTACTTTTATAGGATTATACCAGACACCTTTTAGTACATTTTATACATATTTTTTTATTAATCCTGCATTAATATGGCGTATTTAATTATTTTTGTGATTTCTTGTTCGTTGTTTTGTATTTTATGTAAATATTATTTATATTTTCGTACCTTCTACGTTTTCATGCCATTTGTTTTACCATATTCTTTCTGCCCCTGCGGTGATGGCGAACTTTGCCGCATTTTATCCCGCCTCTTATCCGTTTGTTGGTTAACCATTACACATTTGTATAAATGTTACATATCACGTCATCAAGTTAGGATTAGCATAGCAAGTATATTTCCAGTTGCCAATTTAATTTTCTACATATAACCATAGGAGCAGGCTTCTTAAAGGTCATCATGTGTATTGAGATTCTATGTCATGTTTTCCTGCTAAGACCCATACTCAAAGCCATCAGAGGCAGACATAGCCCACTGTCTGGTGGTAGTTTAGTTGGAATCCACCGTGATGATCATACACTACCTAAACATTTCAATGGAAATCTTATTGGCACTGAATATGAAATGCATTTTATAAATTGTTCTCCAAATTTGTTACCCAACTTTTTGTTTAATTTGCGTTAATTTCCCTTCTGAGCTTGAAAAATTATCACGGAATGTTTATATTGTGACTAAAGAATGTAATTCATGATAAAACTGGATATTGGGTAACAGTGAGATGATAATCTCGACATGGTCACCAATAACTGAACACACATTATATCAATCTATATTTGAAGTTTTCGTGACTGCAGGGATCCATACTCTTTGGTTCTTTCGGTAAAGTTGCGTAGGTATCAAATAAATTAAATCACGACTTTTCGGGCGCAACACAAGCGTCCTCCACTCCCCCTACCCCACATCCCCAACCTCTCTGTCTCTCCTCCCTGGCTCCTCCCCCCTTCTCTTGCCTTTATGGCCTCTTGGTGCAGCAGCCCTTTTGCCCACTTCAGCAATTGTTTCTTGCTGTGGTTGTCCCACCTGATGACGGATGCTTGTGTCGCGCCCGAAACGTCGTGATTTAATTTATTTTATTTTATACCTACGTGACTTTACCGAAAGAACCAAAGAGTGCACATTATATCATTCAATTGTTTCACTTTGTTTTGAGCTGGAATAAGCAAAACCATGTTTTCGACCTGTGATGAACACACTTTTCACTTTGAGTGGTTCCCAAGTAGACCAAGAGGTCCATTGAAGTGCCTTAAGACGTTGTAGCGTCAAGTTTTGGAGACATTCTCTGAGACGCAGTGATGCACTGCTAGCTGCAGAGCTCTGAATGTACATTTATTCACCTATGACATTGTCATTAGCACAATAGAGATACAAGCTACAACAAATATTTTATATTTTTATCTGATTTACCTTTCTGTGTTGTCACGATAAAAATGCTATTTCAACTTGTACATGACCATTGGCATATTTTTATGTGGTTGTTGATCATTTGGAACAAGACCCTTCCTCGACCCCTGTAGTTCTCAACCCATGGGGTAGTGCTCCTCTCAGGAGGACACAAAAGCTTTTCATTCAGTCATTTCCTCTACGGTTGGCTAGAAAGCGTGCGTGCCAGCAGACCACATCCATGTGCAAACATGTAATGTTGCTGGCCGTGTTGCTTCACTCTGACCCTCTCCCGTTGTCGCTGTCTCTGTTGAGGCTGCCAATCCAGGTGGAATTTGGTACACGAGGGCCGTTACGGAGGTAATTTTTTGTTACCATTCATCCGTCGTCCTTGATTTTGTGAATCCATTTCAATTGGTGCACACGGTAAATCGGCAGCCCATTTCCACGTCTGAAGAGTTTGGCTATGCGTGTTCGGATATCCCTTCGTATGGGTAAATCGCATATGAACCTTATGATGGGACCCCGGGGTCCCGAATAAACGCAAGTCAAAATCGTCATTAATTTATTTATTTTTGGCGACTCCGTCCCACCACGCACATAAACGCCGCGACCCACCTGGCGCAGATCATTCTGTTGTCGTGTCGTCCAAGCGCAGCAGCGAGGACGAATGCACAGAAGAAACAAAACTTTGAAACTTTTGATTCGCGCATCGTGTAGAGCTCGTCGAGAGGAATTGATTGCCGTATCATTCGCCTTCAACAGACGTGAAATGACGTCGCAACGAAGTTTATGCGAGAGCCGGGGGCATATGGGACCCCGGGGTCCCGCCATAAGGTTCATATGACCAGGATGTTTTTCTTTTTTATAAAGTGCAACTCTACAATTAAATCTTTAAATGTGTTTTGAAGTGATTCATAGACTGGTTAAGTCGAGGCTAACGTTGTTAAATACTCTACATAGGCAACTGTAGCCGGTGAGACGCCTGCAATTTAACACAGTCAACATGAAGGTGTGTCTACATAATTACTCTGCTTCAGCATTTATTTTGGAACAAATGACACGTCAGAAAATGCAGTCTTGCTTAGCTGCTCGTAACATTTAAAAACCACTCTGGCATGTAAACTGCCTTTTGAGTATCGAGATTGCCCCGACGGTTCTGCGATGTTTATTTTCCTCCTGTTTAAATCACACGTTTATGGCCGTAGCTTATTATGTACATCTTACACCGTAATGCATATTGCTGCTACATGTATGAGCTATTATTATTGTATTTCATAACCAAGTGTAGATTATGTCATTAATATGCCACCAAGCACTGTTGGGCTGGAGGTGTCGATGAAAGCTGCCATCGCATGTTGTGATCCCAATGCACGAATCGTAACCGAAAGGGCCAGCAGTCCTCCTCTCACTTGGTGACACGTGCCACAAATAATCTTTGTGTAAGGCTCAACTGCATTGCATACGTTGTCTTGCCAAAGCAGCGTTCTGTTAAATGGTTTCCTGTTTTCCAGAGAGTACTTAAATGTGTATCCGAATGAATGAGTTTATAGTAAACACGTATATTGAATGGTATTACATTATCAATGAAGCATTTGTCTTGTAATGTTTCTATTCGAGGGTATATAGTATCTACAGCCACGGTGACAATAAAAGCACACGTTTGAATGTATTGATGAAGATATATTTTTGGATTGGAATTATATATTTTTTTATTTAAGTATTTTATTATAAATGTGATATTTTCGGATTAATTTTAGGGAGGCATTTATATTAATTTATATGAACATTAAAATATCTCATGGCTCTTTATATACACAATGTATATATTACTTTTATTTTAATGATGAGCTTCCATCACCTGACAATGCACATGTCTGTGCGTATCTATTCATTTGACCTAATTTGAGAGGGATAGTTCTAGTCTAACTTTTTTAGAAACTACATACAAAACCATAAGGAAAATTAAAAAATATTGTAAAATCAGTTGAATGATTGCATGGGAAATAAGTATTTTAGTTATATTTGGAGATCAGTTGTTGGATTAAACACTTTAATAATTCTCAAGGATGACACCGTTCTGGATTTCATCATTGCTTCGAGTTTTTTTTTCCTTTTTCCGATGATGAATACGTGTTCCAATTCTCATCTCTCTGTTTTCATGCGCATTGCTCCATCCGGTTGCTTTTGTCATGCAATGCTGCTTTGTCATTCTCCTTTTTTTGTAGGATGATAACAACGACGAAGACCAAAAGGAAGCAGAGAACGATGCGAAAGGAAACAAGGAAGAATCCACCTCGCCTGCCATGAAGAAAAGCGTGTAATTAGAATTGTTAACCTCAAGTTGCGTGTCCTTTTATTGCCTGCAGTTACATGAAGCGTAGAGCATCTTAACAATGTGGTGTTGTATCGCGTCAATATTTAGAAATGTGTTTGCATTCTGGTGGTTCTGCCAATATTTCCAGGGTAACAGTTTACACTAATTTCCACACTACGTAATTCGTAAGACTGAGATTCAGAAATATGGGTCAGTACGAGGGTGTGGTACACATCGTTCCAAGCCTCACATGGATAAAATACATTCACCACTATTAACTATGTTATTTTACAAAAGTTACCCTCTTTCGCAATGTATTTTTCCATATTGTTTCTAACATTTTTTTAAATTCTCAAATTTTAAATTTTAATTCCAGCCCATTCAGATAACCCTTCAACACATAATTTTCGTCATAACAGCGTCCAAGCAGATGCTCCTTTAATTCGGGAAGCTGGGGAAAGTCACTGCATTCCAATTTGTGGAGAATAGGCAGAATGTGGTTGACAGCAGCCTTTGCAACTTGCATTGTGTGCTCTAGGGCAGCGGTCCCCAACCTTTTTGGCACCAGGGACTGGTTTCGTGGAAGACAATTATTTCACGGATGGACGGACGGGGGGGGTTCATCATTGGGTCTTTGCTCCTTTTCAAAGCTCTCCAGCGACGTTTGTTTTTTACTCATTTTGGCTCGGGTTAGCTTGTGGGCTTCATACCAAAACTGTGACTGAGACAAGTGCGCAGTGCGGGCAAGAGGCGCGGACGGAAGTGGTAAATAAAATAATGGGTGGACCACGTGCGGACTCACTGCTCACCTCCTGCTGTGCGGCCCGGTTCCTAACAGCAAAGATAAGGCTCTCATCTTTCCTTGGTGCTTTTCTTTGATAGACTAGTGGACAGTTGAATGGAGCAAGTCTGCATAATTGACCTATGATCGTTTCCTTGTGTGGCATCAAGTAAATATGCAACGCACCTTCAGCATCCCAAATGTACTGAACATGATCTTGTCTGCAGAGCACCTTGAATGTCTTGCGTTTTGGAGAAGTTGAATGTTTCTTCTGCATTGACCACCAGTTGGTCTCAAGAGACATAAGCCTAAATTCAAGTCTCATCACCGGCAATAAATTGCCCCTTAAATCTCTCCCAGTCTGCCTTCATTAGGTCAGGATTGTGATGAAAAGTTATTAGATGTTGTCCTCTTTGTGTCGTCCTGTTCATTTGCCAATATTCTTGAGATTCCACCAATCCCACACACCCAAGGTGGCAGCTAACTGCAACAGTAAAAAGCTGATCTTCCAAAACCAAGTCTTGGACAGCCTCTGTTTTTCCTCATTGACTGAAGTCACAGGCTGCCCTCACCTGCGGTCATGTTTAGGAGTATTTCTGCCACCCCAGAATTATGCAGCCCAACTTTTAACAATGGCATATGATGGTGTCCCCTTCCACATTTAATATGCATTCAGACATTTCCTTTGGTTCAGTATGTTCTAGTATAAAAAGTTATGGCAGGAACCGCTTTATTTCATCTGCCATCATAGTATACCTCCAGTAGTTGGACAAATAAGGAACAAATCAATCTAGTATATTGTTCCCCAGCTGTTTTGAGTAATCTTAACATAAGTTAATGGACTCTGGTATTTCCTTCGTACATTGGGCTCAAAACATTTTGTGCCACCCTCACATTTTGTGATTTATTTAAGGCCTTTTGTAATGCTATGGTATTGAAGTGCCCTATAAATGCAAGCAATTGATCCTTTAATTTTAACTAAATATTTTCAGTATTGTTACAATGTTGATAACAGCATCGTGGTTCATCAAAAAACCCTGCCCAAACTGCTCACCTGAAACCTGGAACGTGTACGTAATACGTGCAGAAAATGTCCAACACGTGTTTCTTATAAAATGCCTTCCATTGTTACGTGGCGAATGACTAAAAATAAGGCGAAAAGTGCCATCCCCTTGCCTCTAGATTATTGTAAAAGTAATTCTTTGAAGCAGTGAGTGGAGTGCCAGATGAAAACCATATGCTGTATGACACAGACGTCTTACAATACCTGGACTACAATCCTCTTAAATTTCGATTTAAAGCTTTCGTAACTGCAAGGATTCATCTTCTTTGGTTCTTTCGGTAAAGTCACGTAGAATGAGAATAAAACAATAAAATAAGACAATAAAATTATCACGACGTTTCGGCCACAACACAAGTAGCCTTCATCAGGTGAAAGAACAACTGTCGGGACGACAACGCTTCAATGAAGCTTCATTGAAGCACTGTCGTCTCGACAGTTCTGATAATTTTATTGTCTTATTGTTTTATTCTCATTTTACGTGCCTTTACCGAAAGAACCAAAGAAGATACAATCCTCTTGCCACATGTCATGGGCCCATGTTATTTGTAAGAATTCTGATGTTACTTCACTCGTACATAATTTTGTAATTTACACAATGTTTTGCCACCTCCATGACTCATACACATTTCCCAAGTAAAAAATAAACAGTTGGGATTTATCCCATTTTCGCTTTCACACTATGCATACGCGCCTTCTTTAAATCTTGCGAATCGTGTGTGGATTTTTGAACAATCGTGCTTACAAGTTCTCAGCTGCCACTTGTGAGACAAGTTATTTGCTTTATTTTTGGCTTCGTGATTAACTGCATGGTAATCGCAATATAAGTCTTATTTAGCGCACTCAAAATAAATCGTGATAACATGTTACTGCTATAATTTAAAACGTAGAAAATAATGCAATTTGATATCAGGTTATCGCGGTGTTGACAAACGTCCAAATTTCGCATCCAAGCCAAGACCTGCAAGAGAAAAAAAACAGAAGGCAAATTAATGTAAGCAATCATTGCAAATCTCTGGAAGCATGCCCGAGAGATCCTATGTGTTGCAATAGCCACGTGGCCTATAGGCACGTGGCCGATATTCCGGCATTCCAGATGCACCGGTTCCCTTCACTCAAGATTATTAGCAACATTCGCATATTAGGATGACACTGCATTACATGAACATTGCTATTGTTGAAACCGGAAGTTAATTATATGATTGGTTAAATACATTGTGTGCATCTTTTTACGGACAAATGTTTACGGTTCCATCAACGGCTTCGGTCATGACGTTGAAACGTTCGTAAAAAATCCCGCCGCCAATTAACCGTCTTAGCAGTACTTATATGCTTATGTTCCTTTTTGTTTTAACACACTTTTAATGGTTTAACAAATGCGCAATTGGGAAGTATCAATGCGGATATTTGGTGCAGATCTTATGTAATCGTAATGCAATTTAGTGTCGTGAAATTGCAAACAAAACGTCACCTAAGAATACGAGCACAGCGCCAAACCACTGCGCGCCTGTCACTGGGTTGGCAAAGAGAACGACGGACGTGAGGACGGTGAAGAACTTGCGCGTGGTGGTGAAGATGGAGCAGGTCAGAGGGCCGAAGGTCACCACCGTCATGAAGATGAACACCTGCGTGGAGGGGGTTGATACAGCGTGCAATGGGTTCTCGTCATCTTCGTCTCGCACATGTTTATACTTACACAGTGCATGTAAACCCACGCTAATGTACAGCACAGTAAACCATTTTTTTAACTGCAGACAATTATATTTGAAGCATGATGTTTTTTATATTGTTAATTTGTTATGCATTAAAAATAACCAGTTTGTGCTATCACAAAAGAAAAGGTTTTGCATATAGTGAAAGGCGTCTTATTAGGGTTAAGTAGTTTCCATCGGTTATAGCTGACGGCAATCAGCCTGGTGGATTACGTGTAAGTGTGAGATTAAAATTTTGCATCGTAAGTAATTTTGTGCAGCTATTTGACAGTAATTAGAATGGTTCATGGTTATATACATAGCAACTTTTATTAACGCAAACTGCACCCAGATGCATTCGCCAGATGCACAATACTGGAAATATGCAAACCTCGTCAGCAATTATCGCAAAATCTTTTGCACAGCTATTTTATTGCTGTAAAACGAATTTGTTCTAAAGTTGTATCAAAGCATTTTCAGTCCGGTAGTACGTTAAAATAAACGTGTATTTTCGTGATAAAAATATTAATGTTAATTACACATAAAAAAAACTATTTTTTAATAAATGATTCAAAATAGTAAATGGTAAACCAGTGTTTGTTAAATTGTTACACTTGTGATTACTTGCCTTGCAAGGATAGTATATCCTCACGAAAGATGCACATTGCTCATGTTAAAAAAGTCTACTATGAAATGGCCAACACAACTTAAATAGACTTACGTATTTTATTTGCGACCAGTATTAATTTCTACATCACTGTCACGAAGTTCTTACAAAATGAAATTATGCTCCAGTAATAAAGTCCCACAGCCGCTGATTTTTTTCGTGACATTTCTGGCCAGAAGTTTCACTGCCCACTGACATACACCCGTGGCATTAAACAGCTCGTATAATCTTTGCTAACCACTTTAACGCTTAATAATGTTGCATACCTAAATGTTAAACCATGCCATTGCGCTAAATTTATTTTCTCAAATTATGTTTCTCTGAATACTTTGCGCTGTAATTCAACATGTCGGTTTCCAAACTGCTCAATCCCTATTTCTGAAGTCTTCACGAGTATGGAAATGACTAAAAAGGTTTATTCAAAAATAACCACAGACCATATGGAACACATGTAATTGTTTCCCAGGTTGACATTTTTAATATGATGTAAAAAAAACAACCTTGTGGCAATACCATCTGGGCACCTTAACCGATGGTTATGGGGTAAAGTTGTGCACGCTGAATCCATTAGCAAACGAAACCAGTTTAGCGTTTCTCAAATAAGGAAAGTCTTTCACCATGCGACTGCCATCTCAACCTGAGATCAAGGGGCCAACACCCTGTGTGGCTTTTACACAAGCCCCAGGTCACAATCGACAATGAGGAACCGCGTCTCATTATACGCGAGTCTCTAGGCAGCAACAGCCTCGCATCTCATCAGCGGCAAGCGTCGATCAGCCGTATGGCTCGGAAGCGTTGCCTTTTTTTAGCATCTGCGTTCAACCGTATGGAAGGAAAAAGAGCCATGTGGCACACCCCATATTGGCTGCTTAAGGGTCAGATTTCCATACTCTCTTGACTTGTACAAACACAGTCTTATCACTACTCTGTCTTGTTTTAGTTTGTGTTTCAACTTAAACATTTTGACATACACACTATTTTATGCACTTCTTGACTTAGGTTGTTTGTTCTCCCAATACGGTATTGTAAAGAAGGTACCTGGGTACGGTCTTGCAAGGTATTGCTCACACGCCACTGCTAGCGGAAGGGGCCCTCGAGTGGGTATGTAGGCCTCCCGTTTATGCCGGCCAGACGTCACGGAAGAAGTTGCAATACCCACACGTATTGTACACGCCGCTTTATATTACTGCTTTAGAGTACTCTTTGGTTCTATTCGGTAAAGTCACGTAGGTAAAAAATAAACAAAAATCAGAGGACAGGTTGGTCCCTTCACCTGATGAAGGCCACCTGTGTTGTGGCCGAAACGTCGAGATTTTTGTTTATTTTTTACCTACGTGACTTTACCAAATAGAACCAAAGAGTATGGATCCTTGCAGTCACGAAAGCTTCAAATCTAGAATTGCTTTATAGTACTTTTAACACTACCGTATATCTGTTGCGCTTTAGATATGGGTGCTGATTTACACCGACTAGATTGTGTTCGTAATGTTCAAAAGAGACGGTGCACATCTAGTGCACTTTAATTGTTTGGGTTAAGAATGGCTTTACGGCACGTGATTCGCACTTTTTAAACAAAAGTGCCGATCCATAAAGGTGTTTTTGGGTTAGATCGCGTAAATACAAATGCGTCGTTAAACCGGCCACCACTTGACACAGCCAACTGGTAATGTTCGTCACGTAAACAAAATGTGATAATTAGTTACTATTTCAGCACACCGGTGTGTTGGAGAGTAAACCAACAACATTTAGAATTTGAGTACGACCTTTCGCTTGTAATTACTGGTACCTTTATTATGGATATTGGTTGCGAAAGCCTACGTATTAAAACGTAACGATAACACGATCAAACGCTCACAAGCTGTCGTTGTCCTCCTTAACCCCTTCGGCGCATTTCACTTGCCTGGCCCATTGCACTGGTGGCTGCGAAGAGCGCGACGTGGTAGATGATGTTGGGATGGCATTGTGCAAACAGGAGGAAGTGCAAGCCTTCCCCCGTGAACACGACCGCTACGGGTGGAGAGACAATCGGGAGAGGGCATTAGAATGTTTCAAACCATGTGTGGCACGCCGAGTAATTTCTTGCAGGAACTCACGCTTTTGCCAACGATTGCTTGTTATGTTGCTCAAATGAAATCCGGTGCCACGGGCGCGGCTTGCCACGGACCTTGGTGCACAGAAGGAAACGTAGCCCCCTGTCCAATTCTACCCCACCATCCTTTGCCGGCCGGTGGCTGGGCCCCCTCCTTGGCGCTTGCTCCTCATGTCCCGTTGCATTTGCGTCCCTTGCTCACTCGATAGCTACGCCCCAACGATCATATTGCGATGTCGCAACAATGTTCACACAAAACATTATGAACGCAGCAAACCTGCTCTGCTAACACACATCCTAAAAGTCTACGGATTGGAACCAATCAGTGTATAATACGTGTACTCTTGGACACGCGCAGTACGGTACTGATTGTCCACATCTCTTGCCATATTATATGGGGTGGTCCATTTGTAATTTTCCTGTTTCTTTTCAAGAGGCGATTGAATATTGTGAAAGCGACGGCTCCATATCTTTACAAGGATACAGAAAATGAAGGTGGTTAAGCATGGGTGGTGGGAGAGATGTTTACTCTATAATTTATATTTATTGGGATATATCTATACATGGATAACCATGTATACTCTCCTGCTAGTTGTACGTGATACACTTTTCACTTATTTTAGTGCTGTTTAAAATTATGGCTTATTTAATCGTTCGTTTTTGGCTGCAAAAGTGAAATCGACGGCTTTACATAAGCTATTAATATAGGAGGTGGCACGTTACAAAAGTGTTATATTATTTTGTTGATAATGTCAATATATTGCCAATGCTGAATAATTGTGAATGCATATTAAGTCGATGGGTATTTCAAAGGGACCTAACCATGGGATGATGATTCTGAGGAATGATTGACTTTTTTGAAAAATTAGAGAAGAGTGTATGTATCTACGTGGGCCAAAGTTACTGCGTGAACTGTTGTCAGGATAGATCCATCCCATGTGACCGCGCTATGGTACTGCCCTCTGACCCACGGGAAGGACCGACTGTATCCACTTTCACCATTGCAGTGGTTGGGAACCTCTGTGCTGCGACAGAAGGTTTCAAGCAAGCTCAATTTTGTTGCTGTTATAAACACCTGACCTCTGCCAAGACATATAACACTGCTACATGCACTGTATTCACTTACATCCGCTGTACATGGCAAATTAAACTGCCTAGAGTGCATCATGAAGCTGACCAACAACTACCAGTGTCTGATGCACTGTTTACTTTCATTATGATGCCTGCTTCTACCGCTTCTCGAATATTGAATTCAAGTGGGAATAACATTTACGCGCAGAGGACTAACATGTACAAAAAAAGCGTGCAGTGATGTTACGCTCTCAGTATTGAGCTTGTGGAAATAGAACCACAATAGGAATATTTTTCACGTTCCCCCCCCCCTCCTCTCCTTTCGCGTAATGTAAATCCAAATGGATGTTTACGATCCCTGCCAAACGTCAAAGATTTTTCCGCACAGACAAAGGGACCAGAGCTCGCTGTCGCCATCTCGCTGTGCTGTTGGCCGGAGTTGCTGGTAATTACCGAGCACGGCATGCAGTAGCAGACAGCGACAGATGAGGGACAGGTGTCGAGATCAGTGGGTGCATGCACCTATCGCCAAACAAAACACAGCCTGAAAAATGTACCTTATTAATGCGAACATGACAGTCATAATTATCCTCTTTAATGGCAGCCACGCTAATGCGAACAAAAAAAATAACACAACAGACCGTTGACTCAAAATATCCCAACAGTGATAACATTTAACTCTTGTTTTTTTTTTAAACGTAAATAAGTTGGAAAAAAAAGTCTAAAATGAGACGTGCAGCCTGCGACTCATCATGTTAGATTTAGTTTATCTCCCAAGAAGTGTGAAAATAAACGGCATAAGAAGTGACAAATGCAGATTGTTATGGAATCCCAGGCTGTTACATCTCCATTTGCAGGCACGACGTGATACCGTCCGCCATGCCACCACTGTGCCTGCTGGCACTTCTGCAAAAAAAATACTAAAAGCAACTGTGTGACGCACGACAAAGTATGCACGATGCACAATGCGTTGCCGAATGTGAACAGGGTGTGTGTGTATTATTGATTGAGCAATGGAGTTGATGGTGTTTATTATCACCGACTAAAACTAGCTATGATTGTGTTATAATTATCGTGTGTGACAGCATTGTTGCATTCGATTACAACACGTTATTGGAGTGGATCTGGAGATTTGATAGGTTTTTTTTTTAGAACAATTCAGTAATTCGCAACATTTGCCCTGTTTTACACGAAAATGTAGCATTCTCAGTTCATACTCAACGTGTGAATTATTGCTTTCGACGTCAACATCGCGTCCGTTTAGCCACCTTCGATGTAAAATGTCTAACGTGCTCTAATGATGACGTAACTTTCCCATAAATCATACATTTGTACCGGCTTGAAACCTATTTGTAGAATTGGTTCCTTACTTTATAATATGCACTGCGATCAGTTTCAAAACCGCTTTTTCTTGCCTGAATTTAAAAGACGACATCAACCAGCCCGTAAATATGTTTCAGATTTTTATCGGAGTGCAACGACTGTAAAACCTTAACCCAGGTCAAGCACATTACATAGTGCGCATATCCGTCAAGGTCCCCCATCCAATTTAAGGCGTCATTGCTACATTCGCAGGGAATGAAGGCAAAGATATATAAGCCAGGGAGTTGCATGGGACACACGTGCACGCACGCAATTGTCATCATAAATAGTGGACGTGTATTGTTAACGCGAGAGAAATCTGCCACGAATCTACAGTGAGGGAAAAAAGTATTTGATTCCCTGCTGATTTTGTACGTTTGCCCACTGACAAAGAAATGATCAGTCTATAATTTTAATGATAGGTTTATTTGAAAAGTGAGAGACAGAATAACAACAAAAAAATCCAGAAAAATGCATGTCAAAAATTTTATAAATTGATTTGCATTTTAATGAGGGAAATAAGTATTTGACCCCCTCTCAATCAGAAAGATTTCTGGCTCCCAGGTGTCTTTTATACAGGTAACGAGCTGAGATTAAGAGAACACTCTTAAAGGGAGTGCTCCTAATCTCAGCTTGTTATCTGTATAAAAGACACCTGTCCACAGAAGCAATCAATCAATCAGATTCCAAACTCTCCACCATGGCCAAGACCAAAGAGCTCTCCAAGGATGTCAGGGACACGATTGTAGACCTACAAGCACCTTGGTGAGAAGGTGACAACAGTTGGTGCGATTATTCGCAAATGGAGAAACACAAAAGAACTGTCAATCTCCCTCCGCCTGGGGCTCCATGCAAGATCTCACCTCGTGGAGTTGCAATGATCATGAGAACGGTGAGGATTCAGCCAAGAACTACACGGGAGGATCTTGTCAATGATCTCAAGGCAGCTGGGACCATAGTCACCAAGAAAACAATTGGTAACACACTACGCCGTGAAGGACTGTAATCCTGCAGCGCCCGAAAGGTCCCCCTGCTAAAGAAAGCACATATACATGTCCGTCTGAAGTGTGCTAATGAACATCTGAATGATTCAGAGGACAACTGGGTGAAAGTGTTCTGGTCAGATGAGATCAAAATGGAGCTCTTTGGCATCAACTCAACTCGCCGTGTTTGGAGGAGGAGGAATGCTGCCTATGACCCCAAGAACACCATCCCCACCGTCAAACATGGAGGTGGGCACATTATGCTTTGGGGGTGTTTTTCTGCTAAGGGGACAGGACAACTTCATCGCATCAAAGGGACGATGGACGGGGCTATGTACCATCAAATCTTGGGTGAGAACCTCCTTCCCTCAGCCAGGGCATTGAAAATGGGTCGTGGATGGGTATTCCAGCATGACAATGACCCAAAACACACGGCCAAGGCAACAAAGGAGTGGTTCAAGAAGAAGCACATTAAGGTCCTGGAGTGGCCTAGCCAGTCTCCAGACCTTAATCCCATAGAAAATCTGTGGAGGGAGCTGAAGGTTCGAGTTGCCAAACGTTAGCCTCGAAACCTTAATGACTTGGAGAAGATCTGCAAAGAGGAGTGGGACAAAATCCCTCCTGAGATGTGTGCAAACCTGGTGGCCAACTACAAGGAACGTCTGACCTCTGTGATTGCCAACACGGGTTTTTGCCACCAAGTACTAAGTCATGTTTTGCAGCGGGGTCAAATACTTATTTCCTTCATTAAAATGCAAATCAATTCATAACATTTTTGACATGCGTTTTTCTGGATTTTTGTTGTTGTTATTCTGTCTCTCACTGTTCAAATAAACCTACCATTAAAATTATAGACTGATCATTTCTTTGTCAGTGGGCAAACGTACAAAATCAGCAGGGGATCAAATACTTTTTTTCCTCACTGTTCATGGTGGTCCAGATGTATTGTGACCCCCCATTTAATTCTTGAAAACATAATATTTGCTTTAATGTGAGGTTTATTTAAAACAGAAATGAATATGCAAAGGAAACACATGTTCGGGGTCAATTAATTGGGGGGGGGGTCACAATACATCTGGACCGCCCTCTATAAGCAAGCGTCGGGTGGGTTATTTGAGTAATTAGGCTTTGCCGTCCCCTTTTGAGTGAGCACACAAGACGAGGCAGCGAGCGCCGAGCCTCCGCACAAGCCAGGTGTCCTTTCTCATTTACACGCGCGACGTGCCGTCCCAAACACTCCCAGCCTCCCCACACCACGGGCTCAGCTGGAGGTTCGCGTCACTCAAATCACCACGCGATTATTTTATTTATAGACCTCGCTCGAAGAACGCCCATTGTATGTAATGGGAGCGTTTCGTGTTTGATATACTTCAATTACCGGGTAGGAAAATAAACGTGTTTATATAGATGCAACAAGCGAAATATAAATTAATATGAATAATCCCGTGTAGAATTATTATTGGATTAGCAAATAGCTGCAAGTGTGATTCCCCACCCCCACGCCAGCCTCTGCATTTGTTTTTAATCACTTTTCTGGCTCAAGAAAGTTGATCTGTTAAATGACCAGCGCAAACCTCTGTGCTCGTCAACATCATCGTGACATTTAATCTAATTAACTAAAGTCTGGGGGATATTTTAATTGCAATATAATTTATTTGGGAAAAGATGTTTCAATCCTGAAGTCTAGATCACTACATCATCAATTGATTTAATTTATTTTACCGTAATTTATAATGAATACATTGCTAAATAAATGTAACTACACCGCATTCCAATTCCACGTCAGTGATCTGACTTGTAAATATTTCCGACTAAAAAAGTCAACGTATAAGGCAAACGATGTTATTTGTAGATAGAAATAACGAACAGTAATTGATTTCAAAATGTGCCAGTGCGACAAGATGGCTCAGTGTTAACGCTTGCGCCTCTCAGGAAGAAGACCTTGGGTTGAACTCCCGTCTCAGGCAGCAGTGCACCCACAGATCAATACACATGACCGTCCATACAAACATACCATCTCAATGCAGCAAAAATAGAATGGCAAATAGTGGTACTAATTTGAATTTCAAAGCGTCGAAACACTGCAAGATAAATAAGTAGACGATGACTTCCTTGCGCATATTCGTCTCCACGTAGAACAGTGTCACGTCCCTACGCAACCCATCGGCTGCACGGCCTCGGAGGATTGCACCATTTCAGCAGCACTGTTTCAAGGCAAGCAAACTCTGGACCGTTTTCGACATACAGTGTCTCATCAGCAGACTCAGGCTTGTATCTACTACAGGCACTTTAGGAGAAAGCTGCACAGGGTTACCATATAAATCTAAACAGCACGTGCAGACCCAAGACATGAATAGCAGTACAACAGAGAAACCTAAAATGCAAGTTGGAGCAGATTGAGTGACGGCGTGACACACCACACAGCCGTCTCAAGCACCGCCTATCTGCCCAATGGTCGCGATCAAGGCGGCCGGGCCACGGGCCACCTTCTGTGCCCGCGTCCTCTTGTCACGACGCAGCGTGGGGGTGGGATTCTTACGCAGGGCCAGGGCGAGGGAGGACCAGGCGTTGACGTGGAACATCATGTGCAGGAACGAGGTTTGGTGCCGCAGCTTCATGTGCTCCTGCAGCACCCCCGTGAGTCCATCCAGCACCAGGGAGCACAGCTTGGGGACACGCGAGACAAAGATCCCCCGTGTAGTTTACACGGAGTGTCGGGGCAAGTGAGCGCATTATCAAGGCTGCCATAGCGCACGAGGGGGTGGTGTGGTCTGCTCCACGCCCCGGACGCCTTTGTCTCCCCACACAGACGTCCATGCCCCCAACAAGGTTTTAATCGTCAGTGGCCTTTAATGGGAGATGCAAAGAATGTCACGGGTCATCATTGCCCCCCGCCTCCCAGTGATTCAGTGATTCAATGAACACAGCGTTGGTGTACGGTGCTATTTCAGGAATATTTTGATGGTTTTTTTCCTGGATTTTTTGTTTGCAACATGCACAAAGTCACTTTAAGATGTTTTCTTGTTCATGTTTTTGTTTGTTGCGGTTGCACCCGATTCAAGAGCCGAATGGCTCACAGGGCTATACCAAATAAATGAAACTATGAAACTATGAAATGAACCGTCACGATTTGCGGCAGTGATTCAAATATCGATATTTCTTTCTGTTTTGTTTTGCAATGTTGTTCGCCCCATTGACCTAAAAAATGTAACAGTAATGTGTTCATTACTTCTCCTAAATCGTAACAAATCGATGCTCGCAAGCACATTTCTAAAAGTTTCACGTGAGCATACTAATCAATTTAAATTGTTGATTTACACATCAATAAGTGCCTGCCTATTAGATGCCACTCGAACGGTAAAGAGTGCAGAGGGAAAAAGCCACGTTCATGCTTCGGTCTCCACGGCGCGAGGCCCGACTCTTCAGAGGCACAGCAGATGTCACATTAACTCGGAGGGAATCTGTCGCTAAGACGTGGCTACGGCATCGCTATTGTAGGTTTAATTACAGGACTGCAATGCTGAATCTCCTACCCCCCCCCTGCTCCTATCGTATTTGGAACAGGAGTCCAACCACATCAAAGCAAGATAGGCCATTCACTCTTCGTGTCAACAGATTCGCGGTCACAACAGCTGTTCAGTTATGAAGTTATGTTGCCAAATGTTTTTTTCCCAGCAGTAACCGTGTCCAAAACGTGCAATGTTCACGAACTCAACCCACGCACCCGATGAGCACCCTCTGGTGTCCCTTCATCACATAGCAGGTGCAGTAGCCTACGGCTGCTGAGATGTGTTTTGCATCGTATGCAAATTGAAATATTTGAACGGTATTTTACAAAAATATTCACATATAACTCATATTCTTTGGGTATTTCGGTAAAGTCACGTAGATAGGTTCAAAGAAAATAACAAAAAATAACAAAAAAAACTCACGACGTTTCGATCGCGACACAAGCGTTTGTCATCAGGAAGAGGGGGTTAGCTTCTAAAGGTAAACTGTTTATAAAGGTTTTAAATGGGCGTAGCCCAAATGTCAGCGACCAATGGCAATGTAAGTGGTGGGCAGCGACCATGACGGTGCTGGGTTTTCCCACCAATCAAAGGGCTGCCCAGTAAAAATTAGCATATTAATGTGAGATCGTTGAGAGGCCTCCACGAGGGGCGCCCTGAGGTGGCTATGTTAATATGAGAGATTAGCATGTTAATGTGAGAGATTATCATGTTAATGTGAGAGATTGGCATGTTAATGTGAGATATTAGCATGTTAATGTGAGTGATGTTAATGTGAGAGATTGACATGTTAATGTGAGAGATTGGTATGTTAATGTGAGATATTACCATGTTAATGTGAGAGATTAGTATGTTAATGTGAGAGATTAACATGTTAATGTGAGAGATGTTAATGTGAGAGATTAGCATGTTAATATGAGAGATTAGCATGTTAATGCGAGAGATTAGCATGTTAATGCGAGAGATTAGCATGTTAATGTGAGAGATTACCATGTTAATGTGAGAGATTAGCATGTTAATGTGAGAGATTAGCATGTTAATGTGAGAGATTAGCATGTTAATGTGAGAGATTAGCATGTTAATGTGAGAGATTAGCATGTTAATGTGATAGATTAGCATGTAAATGTGAGAGATTAGCATGTTAATGTGAGAGATTAGCATGTCAGTGTAAGATATTTTCATGTAAATGTGATAGATTAACATGTTAATGTGAGAGATTAGCATGTTAATGTGAGATTAGCATGTAAATGTGACAGATTGGCATGTTAATGTGAGATATTAGCATGTTAATGTGAGAAATTAGTATGTTAATGTGCGAGATTAGCATGTTAATGTGAGAGATTAGCATGCTAATGCGAGATTGGTATGTTGATGTGAGAGATTAGCATGTTAATGCGAGAGATCAGCATGTTAATGTGAAAGATTAGCATGTCAAATGTGAGAGATTATGTTAATGAGATATTAACATGTTAATACGAGATATTAACATGCTAATGTAAGCGATTAGCATGTTAATGTAAGAGATTGGCATGTTAATGTGAGAGATTAGCATGCTAATGTGAGAGTTTAGCATGCTAATGTGAGAGATTAGCATGTTAATGTGAGAGATTAGTATGTTAATCTCTCACATTAATCTCTCACATTAACATACTAATCTCTCACAGGAACATGCTAATCTCTCACATTAACATGCACATCTCTCACATTAACATGGTAATCTCTCACATTAACATGCTAATCTCTCACATTAACATGTTAATCTCTCACATTAACATGTTAATCTCTCACATTAACATGTTAATCGCTCACATTAACATACTGATCTCTCACATTAACATACTAATCTCTCACATTAACATGCTAATCTATCACATTAACATGCTAATCTCTCACATTAACATGCTCATCTCTCACATTAACATGCTAATCTCTCACATTAACATGCTAATCTCTCACATTAACATACTAATCTATCACATTAACATGCTAATCTCTCACATTAACATCTCTCACATTAACATGCTAATCTCTCACATTAACATCTCTCACATTAACATGTTAATCTCTCACATTGACATGTTAATCGCTCACATTAACATCTCTCAGATTAACATACTAATCGCTCACATTAACATGCTAATCTATCACATTAACATGCTGATCTCTCACATTAACATGCTCATCTCTCACATTAACATGCTAATCTCTCACATTAACATGCTCATCTCTCACATTAACATACTAATCTCTCACATTAACATGCTAATCTCTCACATTAACATCTCTCACATTAACATGCTAATATCTCACATTAACATGCTAATCTCTCACATTAACATACTGATATCTCACATTAACATACTAATATCTCACATTAACATGGTAATCTCTCACATTAACATCTCTCACATTAACATGCTAATCTCTCACATTAACATATCTCACATTAACATACTGATCTCTCACATTAACATACTAATCTCTCACATTAACATGCTAATCTCTCACATTAACATCTCTCACATTAACATGCTAATCTCTCACATTAACATAGCCACCTCAGGGCGCCCGTCGTGGAGGCCTCTCAACGATCTCACATTAATATGCTAATTTTTACTGGGCAGCCCTTTGATTGGTGGGAAAACCCAGCACCGTCACGGTCGCTGCCCACCACTTACATTTCCATTGGTCGCTGACATTTGGGCTACGCCCATTTAAAACCTTTATAAACAGTTTACCTTTAGACGCTAACCCCCTCTTCCTGATGACGAACGCTTGTGTCGCGATCGAAACGTCGTGAGTTTTTGTTTGTTATTTTTTGTCATTTTCTTTGAACCTATCTACGTGACTTTACCGAAAGCCCCGTAGAACATGATTTCCTGCAGTCACGAAAGCTTTAAGCCAACACATATAACTCATTACCAGAATACTGCACCCCTTGCAAACACACCCTCTCACGCCGTGCGTGATGAATCCAGGTCGTCCCAATCACCCGAGCTCAGCAACCCAACAACATCACAAACCCTCCTGAGCCACATTCGCCACCCCTCGTTAGCTCCGTTGAATGACGTCGCCGTGAAGCAAGACACGTGCGCACGGTGGCATCGAAACACCCCCCCCGCCCGCCCCTGTTAGACCGCCAGCTTTGGGCGCACGACTCGAAACGCAACGAGCTCTTAACGATGCCGTGACAGATGCCGCATTAACAGGCGCGGGCAGGCGGGCACCTGTGCCTGAGCCGGACTTGCCCACCCCCTGCGCGATGCCAACGTGCCAGGGCACAGAAGCAAATGCCAACGACGATGGTAACAGCGGGAGAAATTGACGGCTCGCCCACCAGCAGGAGCTCTCCGACCCCCACCCCGCCGCGCAGCGCGGATGTCCCGGCGCGCTCCGCACCGTCGCGGTACATGAACAGGGTCACCCCCGTCACGATGAGCAGCACGCACAGGTACTTGGCCACGGGGTATTTCTTGCGCGCAAACACGAGGCCCAAGAGGAACACTGCGAGGCAGAGGGGGGTGGTGGTGGTGGGGGGGTTGGGGGGGGAGAGCGCACGCAGAGACGCGGATGCGTTTAGCACACGGAGGGTTCGGGGGTGGACGTTGAACGTGGCGGACGGCCTTGGCCGGATACCGAACGGCAAAGGTGATTCGGTGGTGACAACAATGATAAATGTTCACCGTGCCACGGCCGTTTACGCAAACAAGGGGGTGCACGTCCCGTAGCGGTCAATGTTGTCATTGCGACCTATTACAAAGTGTGCCATCGCTGGTGTGCGCTCTGTACCGCTGTGAATTTTGCCAAGGGGTGTGCGTTGCGGTGGCTTTTTTGTTGCAAACAAATGCTGCCATCTGCTGAAAAAATCAAGAGCTCCTCCTCCATTCGCCGTCCCCTTGCGAACAATCAACGGGTGCTCTTTGCTCTCATGCAGCGGCAATAGGTGTTTGCAGTATGGGTGTAGCGACCCATGGATTAATCAATTAATGTTCATTCTTAACATCAATGGGGCTTTTTTTTTAGTTAATCTTATATGTAAGTGTTAAATTGATCAGCGTGCCGTGCTATAAACCCGATTCCTGGCCACGGCTAACCCCCCCCTCCCATTACCAATCAACATTGACCACCGTGGTGAAGTATGGTCAAAATCTCCATAACTGTATTGAGAATGGCTGAAATCGATTTTGTTATTTATTTTAATTGGTTCACCTCAATGTTTAAACGTTTACTCTTTAAACGCTTGGCGATCCTCAATTGCGACAATTCATCGAGTGGCCACGGTGTGAATCTTGTTAAACCCGCCGTTTGTATGTCACCTCGCGTGAATCAATTCGCTACACGTTGTTTTTTGTGTTGAACCTCTTTCGCACCGTACGCAGCCAACCGTGCTAATCGGAGGTTCGTCGCTAACTACGTTTTATTTAGGGCATGTGTAATGACTTCATTGCCCAGCGGCCGTGATTATGTGAGCGGGCAGATGTTACTGGTTTGTGGCAGGAAAACAAACGCACATTTCAAGGCAATTAACGTGGGAGAGCTGACCTGAGATTGGTTTACATGACTTCCCCAACACCTAAACACACAGACACACGAAGACGCGAAGGTTAATACGGCATTAAACAATTCCCCACTCGCATTCAATTACTTTGGTTCTCAAAACAAGGACAAGTCTGATGCAGCATCACTTTGTCCCGTCGAGTGATGCTAATTTAGCCATTCTCTGTGTGCATTCATCACGTTCCCCACCACTGGATTCCCATCAACATAATTTGCCCACTTGTATTTGTATGGGCTGAGCATTTTACTGTTTCGTAAATGGAATTTGTCTTTCACTGACACGACTAACATGTTGTGATAGCAGTGTTCTGACTATAGCTATAATTGAATGTAATTTGTCACATGTAGATTAATTCGATGTGTAAAAAACCGAATTCAGTCCATCCTAAATGCATTTATTTTAGAAACATTGAGGATGCGTACATTTGTATCCTGATTGTGACTAAGATAATGTTTTTGTAAGAACGTACACATTTGGTATTTATTTTTGCATGCATTTCCTGAACGAAAAAAATATATGCTAAAATAATTACTACTGTGAAACCATAGTAAACAATAAATGTACCAAATCTGTATATTATTATAACAATAACTCAACTAAACAATCTTACAGTCTCATACCAGATATTAATCATACGTTGATTGTTTAAGAGGTGTTAAATATACTCTATCCTATATTCTAAAGTGCCAAAAAAATAATTTGCCTTTCACATTCTTCATTGGAATCAAGTACATATTATACGGGTAGGAACCTCCTGATTACATCGGCCCACAGGGGATTACTGTGTCCGTCTGTCCGTCGTGCATCCAAAAATGGGAGGGGTGGGGCTGGATGGAGAGGGGACGGTGGGGAGGGGCTGGGTGGGGAGGGAGGGGCTGGGTGGGGAGGGGCTGGGTGGGACTGGGTGGGGGGTGGGAGGGGTGGGGCTGGGTGGGGAGGGGCTGGTCACCCCGTGGTGCCCTTATAAAACTCAACGTTTAACCTACTCACGCCGGCTTGTGCCCGCCCTCACAGTCGGGCATATTTTCAGAATACACCACGTGCCGCCGTTGACCCTGTCCATTGACCGAGCAACCCAACGTTCCTACCAGCTCCCTCCGCAGGAATGTGTTCATAGCACGGTTGGCTAAGTACGGTGGGAGATACATTCAACATACATACATAATACTGGCTGCAAAAACAGAAAGATCTGATTGCCCACTGCAACTGGCGAGCTGTGTAAGATTGGCGACTCGCGAAACAAGCTGTGGCTCTCCGATGCCTTCTCGCATTCGGAGAGCTTACAACTTATGTTTTCTTCATTCAAACAATAAATAGATAGTCTGCTTCGGCACCAAACACGCACGTAACAAAAACAACTAAGACCACGAGCCTACGGGCCTTCTGGACCAATGTTTCCCAGCAGCATTTATTTGCTTCGGAAACCACATCTATGGTTTCCATTTTCAGAGCATCATCTGCAGAGTTCGGCTTGTTAAATAAAATATGCAGATAGCTGATGTTGCTGGCCAATGCTTTTAATTGCTGTGTGAGATTCTGCATAATGCACCCCAATCATAGTTGTTTAGCGCAAGCCCAAACACCCAAAATGCTCAGCAGCTAGTAACAAACAGCGCTGTTGATGGCGTTAACAGACAAGGGTTAACACGTTCCTCGAACTGAGCAAAGTTCTAAGAAATTGGGTAAAGTGACGATGGTATGGAATTCCAAAGTGGGAGCAGTGCGAGGAGTGAAAGCATGCATGCTTTTGTGTGAGTGTGAGTGTTGAGCGCATTGTATGTTGGGGGGCGGTGAGGGTTGGAGGGCACCTGGGTGGGATAGTGGATGAACTGCAGGGCCACGTTCCCAGAGACCATGGCCCCCAGGCAGGTGAGTGCGCACGCCATGTACATCCACTGCGCCGTGTGGTCCACAACCGGGGATGGTGCACAGCATCTCACTGAGCGTGGCAGAGGAGGACACCGTCGCACATTTGCCTTCCTCCTTCTTGAGTTCTCTGCCTGAGGTCAGGTTCAAGGTTCAAGTTCCCTGCATCCGATTTCAGTGGCATAGAGTGGTTGGCATGGGGCCCTGGTGCACAAATTGTAAAGCACGGTGGCGAGATGTTAACTACCTCTCCTGCTGTGCAAGAGGTCGTGGGTTCGATCTCGACCCTGACGATGCCTGTATATTTGGAGTTTTGCATGTCTCTTTCAACGGGACCTCTCTGGCTTTTCCCTCCACATTTATAAACGACATGCGTTAGAGTATTTGGCTGCTACACATTTCCACGTGACAAGCCACTTCATTTAGCTATCGTCTGTGGCCAGGTCGCTTCTGAAAAATAACGAAATAGCTCAGTGGGCCTTACCCTGGTAAAACATTTTTATATCTCAACGAAGTGGCTTATCGTGTGCAAATGCAGAGCAGCCAAATATTCTAAACACAAAACCGGAGGATCCGGAGGAAAATCCACACGACCTTGGGGTGAACATGTAAACTCCAAATACACAGTCGTCAGGGTCGAGATCGAACCCACGACCTCCTATACAGCAGGCGAGGTAGTAAACATCTCGCAACCTTGGTGAGATGATTCCGCTGTCCCCTGCAAACGAACGGGTCCCACGACTCTCGTCCCAAACATTTAGAATTTGACCTCCATAAATTGGAAGAAAAACATATGCATGTAATTGGGATTTTAGCGAGTGTTGGGGGTTAGGTAAATAGATTAATTTAGGTATGCAACAGTGGAATGACAAATAGTTGTGAAATTAATAGAGTTATGGTTAGGTATGCAGCATTAGGGGTTAAGGCATATGAATACGATTAGTCCAGATCTAAAATATATTACGATGCACATTTCAAAGCCTTTTGTGTATTGGAATTAAAAATCCATATCGTATACAGCAGTAGTATTGTTGTGAGAGCACCTGCAAATGCGTGTGTTGGTGACAAACACTCACTCATCCGGGCAAACGCAGCGCCGCTTGCGCACTGCATGAGCACGAGGGTGAGTGTGAACGTGAACATCTCCCCGTGCCCGTAGCGGCCCCGAGTTCTGTGCAGAAACCACAGACGGCACAAACACCGGCCACAGTAAGCACAACTTGCAGCCATGCACACCACACACACCAGCCATATGAACACCAGCCATGCACACCACATACACCAGCCACATAGACACCAGCAATAGACACAACACACACCAGCCACATTAACACTAGCCATAGACACAACACACACCAGCCACATTAACAGTAGCCATAGACACAACACACACCAGCCACATTAACACCAGCCATAGACACAACACACACCAGCCACATTAACACCAGCCATAGACACAACATACACCAGCCATATGAACACAAGCCATGCACACCACATACACCAGCCATATGAACACCAGTCATAGACACAACACACACCAGCCGAATAGACACCAGCCATAGACACAACATACACCAGCCACATAGACACCAGCAATAGACACAACACACACCAGCAACATTAACACCAGCCATAGACACAATACACACCAGCCACATTAACACTAGCCATAGACACAACACACACACACCAGCCGCATAGACACCAGCCATAGACACAACACACACCAGCCACATTAACAGTAGCCATAGACACAACACACACCAGCCACATTAACAGTAGCCATAGACACAACACACACCAGCCACATTAACACCAGCCAGACACAACACACACCAGCCACATTAACACCAACCATAGACACAACACACACCAGCCACATTAACACTAGCCATAGACACAACACACACCAGCCACATTAACACTAGCCATAGACACAACACACACCAGCCACATTAACAGTAGCCATAGACACAACACACACCAGTCACATTAACACCAGCCATAGACACAACACACACCAGCCACATTAACACCAGCCATAGACACAACACACACCAGCCACATTAACACCAGCCATAGACACAACACACACCAGCCACATTAACACCAGCCATAGACACAACACACACCAGCCACATTAACACCAGCCATAGACACAACACACACCAGCCACATTAACACTAGCTATAGACACAACACACACCAGCCACATTAACAGTAGCCATAGACACAACACACACCAGTCACATTAGCACCAGCCATAGACACAACACACACCAGCCGCATTAACAGTAGCCATAGACACAACACACACCAGCCACATTAACACCAGCCATAGACACAACACACACCAGCCACATTAACACCAGCCATAGACACAACATACACCAGCCATATCAACACAAGCCATGCACACCACATACACCAGCCATATGAACACCAGCCATAGACACAATACACACCAGCCACATTAACACCAGCCATAGACACAACACACACCAGCCGAATAGACACCAGCCATAGACACAACATACACCAGCCACATAGACACCAGCAATAGACACAACACACACCAGCAACATTAACACCAGCCATAGACACAATACACACCAGCCACATTAACACTAGCCATAGACACAACACACACACACACCAGCCGCATAGACACCAGCCATAGACACAACACACACCAGCCACATTAACAGTAGCCATAGACACAACACACACCAGCCACATTAACAGTAGCCATAGACACAACACACACCAGCCACATTAACACCAGCCAGACACAACACACACCAGCCACATTAACACCAGCCATAGACACAACACACACCAGCCACATTAACACTAGCCATAGACACACCACACACCAGCCACATTAACAGTAGCCATAGACACAACACACACCAGCCACATTAACAGTAGCCATAGACACAACACACACCAGTCATATTAACACCAGCCATAGACACAACACACACCAGCCACATTAACACCAGCCATAGACACAACACACACCAGCCACATTAACACCAGCCATAGACACAACACACACCAGCCACATTAACACCAGCCATAGACACAACACACACCAGCCACATTAACACCAGCCATAGACACAACACACACCAGCCACATTAACACTAGCTATAGACACAACACACACCAGCCACATTAACAGTAGCCATAGACACAACACACACCAGTCACATTAACACCAGCCATAGACACAACACACACCAGCCACATTAACACCAGCAATAGACACAACACACACCAGCAACATTAACACCAGCCATAGACACAACACACACCAGCCACATTAACACCAGCCATAGACACAACATACACCAGCCACATTAACACCAGCCATAGACACAACACACACCAGCCACATTAACACCAGCCATAGACACAACACACACCAGCCACATTAACACCAGCCATAGACACAACACACACCAGCCACATTAACAGTAGCCATAGACACAACACACACCAGCCACATTAACACCAGCCATAGACACAACACACATCAGCCACATTAACACCAGCCATAGACACAACACACACCAGCCACATTAACACCAGCCATAGACACAACACACACCAGCCACATTAACAGTAGCCATAGACACAACACACACCAGCCACATTAACACTAGCCATAGACACAACACACACACACCAGCCGCATAGACATATAAGTCATAGACACAACACACACCAGCCACATTAACACTAGCCATAGACACAACACACACACACACCAGCCGCATAGACATATAAGTCATAGACACTGCAGACACCTACCAAAGAAATTGGACACCACAGCCACATTCACCACAGGCGCCACAATCAGAAGCGCCACAGATACCGGTTTGCATGCCCCACAAAACCCGCTGTCGGTGCATCTCATGGCAAATGACAGCGCAATCGCCCGAAAGCCCATGCGGGCTTGTCGACTTTGCACTTCCATACTATTTTTTTTTATGGAGTAGCCTACTGATGCACTATGGGTTTCATATCAGAGGAAAAAAAACGCACTTACATAAAATAATGGGAAAAAGAGAAACCACGGTATGCCTGTAAATGTGAAAGTTGACGTGTCAAACGCGCCTTGTAACTGTGTGATAGGAAATGCAGTCAGTGTTGCCTCTCCGTGGCGCTGGCATTATCTCATTCGCGCAGGCTTATTCGCCCAGTCGCTTTGCTCACCATTCCAACGCTTATCATGTAAATGCAGGAATGGTGACGATAATAATAAGGCACGCCAAGGAAAGAAAGACCGATCAAATTACCCAGATTGTTCCGCAGCACAACACAACGCGCCAGACTTGGCGAACGCAGAAAATACGCGTGCGTGCAAGATTAAGAAGCCTCCACCACCCCCAATGTCTGCACAAGCCCCGAGCGAATTGGCGAGAAAGTGACACTATGAGGCGCTTAACCAGCTTAAGCCAGAAAGGGAACAGGAGGGAATGCGCGTGGACATTAAGTGACCGAGACATCAGATAACGCCTGCCCACACCTGATGTTCAGACCCCAATTGTACAGCCATAACCACATAAACAACGACACGCCTATTTCACACTCGCAAGTAAGCTGTTGATGTCTGTACTCTAGTCTCGACTTCCCCTCCTGGATATCACAACCTCCTTATTTTTCCCTGGGGACTTGCGACCTGGAGGTCCATCTAAAATGTGTTTTGCCTATTGACCTGTAAATACTGGCACCTCTCCTACCCATGGATTGTGGGCAGAGAATGCGCATGGGGGAATACATGATTGTGAGACACTGAGGAGGAGACGATTCTGGGTTTCACCGTGACACGAGATCCTCAGTTTGAGCTGCTCGCGCTGTTGTGAGTACGTGGGCATGGAACGGACCCGTGACTTCGTTTCTTAAGGCCCGTGGTCACATAAAAGGCCTATCACTTCGAAATGGCGAGCAAGCGAAGTCTATCTGGCAACATTGTGTGTGTAATTTACACGCTAAGCGGTTGTCTTTAAACTAACTCTTGAGCGCGCAGTCAATCAATACAGGCCTGTAGCGATGCAATTTTATGGAACAGAACAAGCCCTTTCATCCTCCCAGCACGTGGAGCAGAACGTCGGACATTACGTGAGAGAGCTACACAGCACAATCGCGACGTCCTACGCAGCAGTGGAGTTTCAAATTTCGAGTTTCAAGTTCATTTGGTGTAATCAGCTCAGCGAGAACTCAAGCGATCAGGACGCCTCCTTTGCTGGTGAATTAGTCTGGTGAATTAGTCTTGGGAATTAGTTGCCTGCCAGATTGCTGTCTGCCGTAGAGTTTCGTCCCAATTGAGTAATATGGAGGGGAACAGCACTGCTGAGAGAAGGCATACCACGCACCAGCAGTTTGAGCACGAGAACAGTTTAATTCACTTTCACACCACTGAGGGAGCATCCCGACCCATATCTGGAGAAGCCTGTGCTTGCAGCATCGATGCACGGTGGCCATCTGGCAAGGGTTAATCACGATGAACGCCAGCAGAGGGCAGTATACTCTTGCTTGGTGGCAGTCCCCGTTTAAACCACACACACGCACCTTGGGTGTATGATGGAATATATAACTCGACGTGCCGTTCTGTATCTCCGCATAAAAAAAGGATTCTGGGAATAGCCCCTCGTCCATCAGAAATGTTAATCAGCAGAACTCGTTTAAGAAAGCAAACCCTGGACTGGTTTCGATATTTTAGATCTCATCAGCAAAGACAGGCGTTACCTTCCAGACATTGGTAAAATGTTCAACGCATGCGCGAGACGAGAGCGTTCACATGGGCACAATGGTGCGTGTACTTTTCACTGATCATCGTGAGTATTATTAGAGTAATACAGTATTGTAATTAATTTGGCCAGGACAGTCTCACTGAGTTTCAAGGCATCTTTTCAGGAGGGTCCTGCATGCAATTGGGATGTTCTCCAATTTCATTTGTTTTTAAACAATATTTCGTTTCCTGTGGAAGGAAATCGGAGGAGCCGGAGATAACCCCACAGCGCATTCGAGGCGGTAACCAACCAACTCTTAGGTTTAGTCCACTCTACAAATGAGGTTCAACAATTGCACGTTCTGTGCTGCCACCTCCTGGCCACGTCCGGCGCAGTGAGTGTTGGGAGTTTCATAAATCTCCGTGTGATCCATCACCTGTGGCGCAAAGCAATTGGTCACTGTGGTCAAACTGTGGCGCAAAGCACTCGGTGACTGTGGTCAAAGCACTTGGTGACTGTGGTC